TGTAAGGGGGAAAGGAACACTTCTCTATGGTTGGTGTAAGTGTAGACTGGTGCAAGCATTGTGGAAATCTGTGTGGAGATTCCTCAAAAAACTAGGATTAGCGGACCCATTTAATCTTCCTTTTCCCCTTCTAGGTATCTTCCCAGAAGGATTAAAAACATCATACTACAGAAATATATTTGTACCCATGTTTATAGCAGCACAGTTTGTAATACTTGAAACATGGAAACAACTTAAATGCCCATAAAATGAACAATGGACAAAAAAAAAAAAATGTATTTTTATACAACGGAGTACTACTCAGCCATAAACAAGGATAAAATTGAAACTTTCATAGGCAAATGGATGCAACTAGAGGCCATATTTACAAATTAAATAAATCATACTCACATGTATATACATCATATCATATCCCTAGTGTGAGAAGCAAAAAATTATATATATTTTATAAAAATTTTATATAAAATTATACAAATTACATATGCAAATTACATGTACATTTAAATACCATATTAATTATATTATATGTAAATATTGTACTTATTATATATTATATACACATATTTATCATATAAAAACTATCATATATACATGTGATAGGTAACATAGTTATACTAATTTCTCTCATTTCATTGAAAAGTTTATGCTAACATTGTTTGGACAATTAAATATATTAAAAATGTCTTGTACTATGCATAAGTAATTTGAAAATAACAATACATATCATATTAACCATTGTTATCCTCTAATTATTTTTTTTGAAATTTTGTTTTATTCTCTTCAAATAAAAAAAAGAGACAGATAATCTCCTGTCAGAAAAAGGGAGATTGTATTTATTCCAAAAAGAAAAATGTTGCTTTTATGCCAACCTTTCTAAACAGTCAGAGATCTAGCATGTAGACCTGAAAGCCTAAAATCAACCTGCATCCATTTACATCCCAACCTCACTGTGTTGTAACTCTATGGTTCCTGGCAACTTTTTAATGAGAGTATTCCCTTGTTATCCAAGGGTCGCCAGTTCTAGAACCCATACTGATAACAGATCTGCAGACATTCAAATCTGTTATGCAAAATGGTACAGTATTTGTATATAACCTATATCATTCCACTCATAAACTTTAAATCACCACTAGATTATTTATAATACCTAAGGCAACACAAATATTATGTGAAATTCTGTTACAGTGAATCATTTAGACAAAAATGACAAAAACAAATTTATATATGTTCACTACATAGACGATCTTTTTTCAGGTATTTTAAATCTGCAGTTGGTCAAATCTGGGATGCTGAACCCTTGAATATAAAATTTAAAGCTACACATGACGATATACACAGATTTACCGACGGGCACTCCTCTTGATCTGTACTCAGGGCCCTTAAATTGACCTCACAGTGCAAGGCATCTTGGTGCCGCCCTCTAACGCCCACTCGCAGCTCAAGCAGCAGGAATGATTGATGCCTCTGCATCCCTAGCGCAGTTAGATCATCACTGCTGGAAAGTGGATTGAGAACAGAAAAATAAAGGACAAAAGCCAAGCACTAAGCAAACTAAATAGACTGATTTCCCTTAAGGAAAATTAGAGTGCAGAGGAAAAACAGAGATGGAATCCACTGGCGATGGGAACCTTGGCAAACAGCAAGAAAGCAGCAGACAGCGGAAGCAAACCTGCATCTTTCAGGTCCTCTTTCCCTTTGCCCTCCTGCATGCACTGCACAGTCAGGCACTTCCTCCATCCTTCTCACCCTCCTTGTCTATCAGGGCTTTTCTTTGTTCTCTCTAACAAAGAACAAGCATAACACAGTGTCATTCCCCACTGCTTGCTGTGTCCTGTCCTTTGTCACCTCAGAATAAGAACATAAAGGGAAGGTATTGAAATTCCAATATCATATATTGTAATTCAAATACTGTATATTGTAATACAATAATGTAATCCTTTTTCCAGCTCACTTCATAACCCAGAAAGTTGTATTTATAATGCTATAGGAAGTTACTGAAATTCCAGTGAGTTAATTCCAATCTACCACCTCCGATGTAACCCATGGCAATAGTAAAGATGACGCTATGACATATTCAAAGTTATGATCAGCTAAGGGATCCTAAATTACATCCAAATGAGGATATATGGACAAAGGCCTTGATCCAAGACCTCTCCCAGAATTTATTATCTTGTGAAGGAAGGAGTGGTTCAAGGGTGAGTGACAGGGAGGATGGGGGGAACTATGTGAGTAATGTGAGCTGCCTAGCCAGGTGGGGAGAAAAGCATCTTTGCAATATGCAGGGAGAATGATATGTAGAAGTATCGGTCTTCATAACTCAATTAGGGTAGCATTTGAAAGGTTTTAGGAGATTGTTGCTTCACTTTCTAATATGTCAACTTTTGTGTCCTTGGGTGCCAGAGCTTTTTACTGGAGGTAACTGGCTCTGCCATCTCACTGTGCTCAATGCTTTACAGAGAGCACTATGTGAGAAACAGGAAACTGTCAGGTTGGCTTCAAGACTGCATATCAGTACCTCAGCTAGCCTTATTTACATCACTTAGAGTCAATTTATGGGAGAATGGGACAGCAGAGCCCACTTTGTACATATCAGTATAGGGAAATAAGACTTGATTTAATTAATGTCCTAGCAGGTGTTCTGTATTTAAGGAGAGGTGCCTAAATCATCTTCTACATCTCTCCCTTCCTTGTCTTTTGAAGAACGTTGAGCAAGATCAGTCATGGTTTCATGGCCTCTAGGCATCTCTAGGTTGTGAAACCTCTACGACTGACTTTAATAAGAAGAATTATAAACAAGAGGATGAGCACACTAATTCTGATACAAAACCAAAATGAACCTTGAGGTATATAAAGGGATTCAATTGTTTTATGGTATCAGCAAATTTATGCCAGTCTTTAATTAAGACATCAAAAGGAGCTATCCATTGTGACATTGATAGCAGTGCTCGCTGAAGAGAGCCTACATTCATAGTAATATTTCGATGAGTTGTTCCGTGTATACATTTCTAGGATGTAGGCTTTGGTTATACAATTAAAGTTGCAGCAACTGTTCTGCATTCAAGGAGAGGTGTCCAGGTTGTCTTCTTCTACAGGAGGGCGCTTTCCCTCAATGAATCTCACCAAGGTGGCTGCTGGACTTCCTCTCACATCTCTTCTAAGACTCAACACACACATCACTTTCGCGAGGCTTACCCTGATTATCTTATTTAAAATTGCTAGCCATGCTTTTCCAACATTTTAAATCTCATTTTCCCTTTCTATATTTACCATAGCACTTATTGGAGACTAATATACTCTATTATTTATTAATTTATTTTGTTAGTATATCATTTTCCTTTTTCTGGGAATGTGGACCAAGACTGGAAGAGCTTTAATTTGTACTGATGAATCCCAGAATCTGAGAACATTACCAGGAAAGCACAGATCAGTGATGCTGATTCTGCAGCAGTGTTTTTTTTTTTTTTTTTTTTTTAAAGACAAAAGATGTTAATGTAGAGTTGTTTTTTAAAACTAAAATCTTAGTATTCAGGTTTTGTTGTGGTGTTGGCACTTTGTGACAAGTAGGTGGGTTTTGGGTCGCAGTTGGCACTTGGTCTTTAAGAAGTTTGCCATCACTAGATGTTCAACAAATATATTTGTTTTTGTTGAAAACATCAAGTACCCAAGGAAAAGTAGTGGGAGTCTTAATGTACATTGTGTATTAAAAAATTATTAAGTATTTCCCTGAATAACCAGAGCAATATTTGTAATTGCTGGTTTCCTTAGAACCATAGTTAAAGGTACTTCTTACATGTACTTTTTTTCTGGCCTCACTTATTGGTATTTTTAACGTTTTATCTTTCTTTTAATATTTCACTATCATATTTCACTTGCATATTTTAAATTCTTACTGCCTTATCTTCTGTAGTATTCTCTAAAATTTTCAATACAATGCAAAATGACAATTAAGTTTGAACTTTTTACTTTTTAACAAGTTGTTATTCAACATAAAGTCCTCCTTAGGTTTCTTTTTTTAAAATTTGAAACACTGTGTAGTATATATGGCTTGAGCTTCCACAGTGCCATGTTATGAGGATGCAGCATTTACCAGACAACTAAACCTAGCAAGCCTTGTTCTTGGACCTCCCATCCTCTAGAATTACGAGGAATAATTTTGTATTGTATTGTTCATAAATTTCCTAGTCTCAGATATTCTGTTGTTGCAGGACAGCCTGCCAAGTATTGTCACTGTACTGGAATAATTCAGGAAGAATTTTGGGACATTACCTAAAACAATTGCTTCATTTCCTTTTTCAGTTTATGAAAATTAGGCACACATTTTTAATTAGCTTCTCAAAGGATTGTTAGCAAGAGTACTAAAAAGTCTGCTCACCAATAAAATATGCAATTCTGCACAATCATAGTGCACGTATGTACAACAAAATGTTAGACCAAGTTCAACTATAAGAAGAAAATTGGCAGTAGGAGAGCATTTTTAAAACTGATTCTGCTAGCAACCAGCTATGTGACTAAACAATCACTTCCCCTAGATGGACTTCAGCTTCCTTCTGTGTAAAACAAGAGTAGAAATGATTAGACGCTCTCAGAAGCGATTTTTTGGGCTGACTTTCCCTGTATGTGATAGTTTGCACTTTTATTGAGAGACAGGAAGAGGCTTGTCTTTTTCAACAGCGCACAGGTGATTAAACTCATCAAAGTGACTCAGTGAGTGCATAATCAGTAAAAAAGAAAAAAACTGGGTAGCATGTGACCCCTTTTTGGATTATCATTCTTCAGTGTCTAAAGAACCAGAAGTGCTGTTGCAAGGTCTTATCACCTTTACACTGCAGTTTCCTAACTGCAAACAGATTCAACATAAAGAGTCTGAGAAAGGCAACTGTTTTAATAACTGTTCTGAGACTGCCCAACAGAAAACAGATGCTGTTTCCCCTCAGCCTGACAAACTTGGCGTTTGGAGCACAGGCTTACAGGGAGGGGCTGGGCCTCTCCAGTCAGGAACTAGAGGCAGAGGCTTCCCGTGCTGCTTGTCGGGAGAGAACATTAGGAATGCCTTTCAGTGCCTGGCTTCCTGAGCTATCCTCTGGTAACCAAGCAGCTTAGAGCAATCTGATCACACTTCCCCTCAGCCCCGCAGGAATCAGAATGCAGACCAAATACAGCAGCGAGAGGGACGTGAGGGACATGCTGGATGACGATGAGGACACCACCATGAGCCTGCATTCTCGAGCCTCTACTCTCACCTGGCGGCCAGAGCCCAGACACACAGGTACTCTCGTCTCCTGGAGCCCAAGTAATGACAGCCCTGGGCAGGCATAGGAGATGAAGCACTTCTATTGCTTTGCAGCTTCTGGGCTAAGATCAAGTGAGAAGAGGCAGCTCTCCTAGGAAGGCACAAAGTGGAGGGAAGAGAGGAAGCTTTTTTCTTAATTTGCAGTGATGTATATCTGTGCTCTTTCCGTGACTTACATGACATACAGACTGGTACAGACATCTGAAAAACGTAATCTCAGCATGTACACACATTTGTTTTTTCTGAAATTCTCTTGTTAGCATCATAGTTTACAGTGTGAATGGGTTGCTGGGTTGCCTTTCCAAGGTGGTAGAACATTCTAAGGTGAAATCGTACCCATATTAAAGCAACACCCTTTCCCTTTTCCCCAGTCCCATAAAGACCAAATTGTGTGATTTTAATGTTTTTTTTTATCACTTGTGATGTGATTTTTAAATTTAAATCAATAAAAGCTGTTTGCTAGTTTTGAACTCATGGCTCTCAGAGGGCAATTTCCAAGTGCACCAACTCCTCTTGGTGTTTTGGTGTAATAATTTTGCCTATTGATGCTATGTGATCTTGGATGAGTCATGTCAACACCCAGCATTCAGCTTTTTCTCTGTGAAATGAAGGATGATTGAAAAAAATGCTTTCTAGTACATTCCTCAAACCCTGATACTCTGTGATTTAATAATCTCAGGAGGGTGCTTGGATCTAATTACACTCACTTTCTATTTCCTTTTGTCCTATTGATCTCAGCATATTATTGAGAAGATTGATTCAGACTAAGAAAATACTTCATTTTAGTTGCCTTTACCTTCCATCTTATTTTACTTACAACTATTTATCTGATATAATAATACTTTTTGTTCAGTTCCACTCATTTCCATAATTTGTACCACAGAGAAGGATCATGTTTTCTTATCTACTAAGACAATACAAAGCAGAAATGTGACTTAGTTCTTGAAAAAACTGACTCACACAATATAGATAGTTCCAGGTTCTAGGTTCTAACATCAGGTATGGCACTTATCTTGGACAAATTACTTAAGTATTCTGGGATAGCTCAGACTCTATTTATAAAGCCTTACTGATGCTAGACAGGTCTTCAACGCCTATCAGATGCTCAGCACTGGTTTAATCACTTTCTGCATATTTATTCGTATTAGTCATTTTATTTTATTTTATTTTATTTATTGGTACTGGGGATCAAACTTACAACTTCATGCTTGCTGGGCAGGCACTTGTGCCACTGAGTTAAATCCTTGGCCCTGTCTTTGTCTTTTTGAGACAGGGTCTCACTATGCAGTTTAGGCTGGACTTGAGCTCACTTTGTAGTTCAGGCTGGCCTCGAAATTGCAATAACACTCATGCCTCAGCCTCCTGAGTGCTGGGATGACAGGCATGTATCACCATGCCTGGCTCTCAAACTAATTTTAAATAGAGCTTACATTAAGGTAGCTATGAGTATTAAGAGCAACAAATGGTATAAAGAATATGGTATATCTGATACTCCAAAAGTTTGAGGTATCTTTCAGTTTTCTATTCCTTGAAAATTCCTACTGCTGTGTTTAACATTTTTGCATCCATCTGTATCAGAGAGATACTCGCTGAGTGACTGCATTATAACATGACCTTTTTCTTTTGTTTATATCCAGGTTTTCTTCACTTTTTTTTTTTTTTGTCTCTCGTGTTTATCGGTACCAGGGATCGAACTCAGGACTGTTTGCTTGCAAGGCAGGTGCTTATGCTGCTGAGCTAAATCCCAGCCCCTTCCTCACCTTTTAAAATCAGGACATACCCCTTCTTATTGCTGTGTCCCCTTTCTCCTCTATCAAATAACAGTTTTTTTCTTTCCTGCACTAAACTTTTGCGTCACACTTTCTTCATAAACGCCCTTCCAGTTAAGACCTACGGATATGGATTTTTGTTTTTCAACTGAACTACCCAGTAACTTATCAGGGGATACTGGGGATTTCCAGGCTCCTTGACCTCCTTGACCTGCCAATAGCAGGGAGGTCAGTTTCTGCAGCCACAGGATATGTGTAATAGGATATGAAATGCTTCCCTCTGACAGATCTTGGGAAGAATCACTACTCATGGCTGTTGTTTATTGTGTATAACTTCGTTTTTCAGCTCTCACTGGAGTCAGGAGTTCTCCCAAAGGTTAGTGATCGACAGCAGCAGGAACAGTGTGTACAAATAAGTTCAGCTAAGGTTGAAGGGTGGAGAGGAAAGTGGAGCAACATGAAACACTAGCCGGAACATCTGGAGGGCCCTGAAGAAACCGATTTTGGAGGACTAGGAGTGTAGGTTACCAAGAAGTATCTTGGACACAAGCATCTGGTAGCAGTCGCCTTAGCCTGTGTGGAAGAAACCTTGTTTTCTTCCTGTGGTCTTGAAAATATTTAAAGAAATATTACCATAAAATTCCAGTTATTTCTTGGAAAATATATCTGCTATCCTTTGCTGTAGAAAACCACAGCCATCATCAGGGAGACTGTTTTGGGAATGCAGGTTCAAAGGGCTGCTGAAGTGAAACCACAAGTACTTTTTATTTTAGGATTAATAAAAATAAACCAAACACATACATTTGTTTCCCAGATTTTTATTTTCTCAATAAGCAATCATGTTTGTATTAAAAATACAAAACAACTGGGAAGAAAGTAAAAATCAAACAAAATCTCACCCATGTTTTTTTCCCAGTAGTAAATATAACTCCAGTTTGGAAGGCAGTTGGACTGAAATACTAAGTGATCAGTACAGTAGTGTGCTCAGGTGGAAATTCATGCATGAGCTTGGTCATGTCTCCCTGACAGTGGCTGGAGGACCTCAGGACAGATCTGAGAGAGCAGGCAAGCGCTGCACTGGGGGATTCAGGATGCACCACATGATATGGAATGAGGCATGCGGTGTTTGGGCTTGGAACACTGCAGGGTGAGAGACAAGAACGGAAGAAACAGCCAGAATAGTTCTAAACAGCTATGTTTTTGGAGAATTACGCACAATATGTATGGCTAAGATGTACAGTTGGAGACAGGCTTTGTGAGGGGCAAATCTGAAAGTTAAAGAGGGCTTTTTAGAACATAATGAGATATTTTAATTCTATTTAGTACTTAAAGTGAGATTAATGCAGTATTTATACAGGAAGGAACACAATTTATGTTGTGGGGTGACCATCTAGGCTTTGATGAGGAGGATGGACAGAAAGAATGTGGAATTAAACAGGCTGGCACTCAAGTTTTGACCTGTGTGTGTGCGAGATGAACTGAGTTTGTACAATAACAAAGAAGATGAAGCAGGTATGACAGATGTTGAGGAGAAAGACTTTGAAGAGTTGATGACATGAGAGAAGACAAGGAGAGAGAATCAATTTAGCTTGACCAAATTCAGTCAGCCGCTGTGAGAATGGTGCCATCATTACTTAGAAACCACAGGAGCAGGAGGGCAGATGATACATGCAGTTTGAGGGCTTTTAGGAGGAGAAGCATGCATTTGAAACTGTCTGCAGGTTTGTATGTGAAGCAAGGACTAAACCTGGACTAAAAACACTGTGGATGTACCTTAGTGGTTGACTGTCTGCCTAGTGAGGTCCTATATCAATCCTCAGCACTATAAGATACAAAGATAGATGATAGATAGATAGATAGATGATAGATAGATAGAATGTGAGAATAATAGATGGGCGATGATTCCTGCTGAAGACTAAACATTATCACATCAAAAGGATATGCAAAACTACTCTGCTTTCCTCCCAGCTTTTTTTTTTTTTTTCTTTTTTTGTGATACCAGGGATTGAACTCAGGACCTGGCACTTACCAGGCAGGTGTTTACGCTGCTGTGCTAAACACCCAGTCCTCCTCCCAGCTTTTTAACCTCCTTTCCACAACTGCAGTGTACATTCTTCTATGCAGAGGTAAGGTATAAATCACATCTCACTAATTTAACAAACCCTGAAGCATACTCACTAAGTATAAAATATTATAATAGACACCAGGGAGCCCTTTGCTTTTGAGGTACTTAGAAAGTAGAAGAAATAATTTGAATCAGTAGATATAATAAAATGTCATTAAATGCTATTAAATACATGTCAGAGGCCAAGAAGCCACAAAGGAAAAAGTAAGTTACCTGCTGATTGGCTTTCAGCATTCAAAAGACAAGTGCTTTAGATCCTTAAGGTTCAGTCTCCAACTGGAGAAAGATGGAAATTGGGTGACTTTTCTTGGTAAGGATTATAGTTCAAAGAAAACACCAGAGAGATAAGAGACAGCAGTTCTTCATGTCAGAGAGAGAACATATTAATGAGCAAAATTAAGAAAGATGAGTTCATAGTAAGGAGGCTCTAATTTTGGATTAGATTGTAGAACAGGATACAATATTTTTGGGAATCATCAGCAAAATTTAACAAGAGAGGGCAAAGAAAAGTGTTTGGCTGAGGATGAAAGGCCCTCAAAATGAAGAGCAAGATTTGGCTCAATGATGCTGAAAGGTAGGCGAGGAGCCTGATGGAAGATGATAAGCAATTCTGACTAGTAATGGATAGGTCTTGAGAAACTTTTCTTCTCAAATAAGGGCCATGATTAAAAGGCCATGATTATGCTTTAGAAAGTTCACCAGGCTGGTAGAGTTGAGAAATTCATGCTTCAATGGGGTTGCAGTGGGACTGAATGGAAATGAACAATATGGAAGGAAACAATGGGATCTTTCTATGATTCCATACGGATGTATTGTTCAAGGTCAAATACTAATTTGATATTCATTAGGAGGATTGTAAAATGATTTAAAATGTTTAGCTCCAAAAACAGTGTACATTTCAGGTACACTGGTACATTTCAGGCTTCTTTCCTTATTAGCTGTGCATACCTATGCAAGCTAAATAACTCCTGTGTAGTTCAGCTCAGTTCAGTTCAATTCAGTTCACTTCAGTTCAATTCAATCCAGTTGAGTTCAACTCAACTCAACTCAATTCAATTTCAAGTAAAGGTTAAAAGTAGTTGCTCTCCTGGGGATTTGGTTCAGTGGCATACGTACCTGCTTGGCAAGCTTAAGTTTCTGAGTTCAATCCCTTAACACAACAACAACAACAAAATTGTCCTTTTGAATAATTTTTGAGAGCTTCCAGTAACTACAACAGTATTAATAACACATTTGGTAACAATTACTAGCAGTAGCTGTGTGTTCCTGGGTAGAGTAGCCCTCCAAGCCTCCACTCCTAGCTATAAAATAGAGTAACAATCTCTACTATAAATAGCATGTTAATGAAACTATATAAGATAATCTGTCTAGGATATTTATTTCTGTAATTCAGGAAATTTCATAATCATCATTAATGGTAGTATTGTGTTTGAACTATATTTCAGTAAGTAAAAGTCACTCCTTGGGTTATAAAATTTAGTAGTCTAAATATAATTATCATTGCTCTGCATTGAAAACTTAGTGATATTCAGGAAATAACTCCTATAGTTTTAGATGCAAAGTTTTAAAAATAATAGGGATGATAACTCATTTACATTTAGAGAAGGAGAAAATAGCAATAGATGAAATATATCCACATAGGAAACTGGGTTTATTTTTCTTTTGTCTTTTTGTGTTTTTGAGACAAAGTCTCATTATGCAGTTTAGGTTGGCCTTGAGTTTACTTTCTAGTGTAGGTTGGTCTTGAACTCACAATGATCCTCTTGCCTCAGCCTCCCAAGTGCTGGAATTAGGAGACATATATATATATATATATATATATATATATATATATATATATTTTTTTTTTTTTTTTTTTTTTTTTTTTTTTGGACACAAGAAACAACCTCCAGGCTTGGGATTTAGTTCAGTGGCTGAAGTGCTTGCCTGGTAAGCACGAGGTCTGGGTTCAATCCCTGGCTACAAGAAAAAAAGAAAGAAACAACCTTTACCCCCTAAACTGAAGAAGATTCCCATGAAGAATCTACTGTGAACTGAACTTAAAGGAACAAAAAATAAGTTGCTGAAAAGAAAAAGAAATAAATTAAAAAATACATCTAAAAGTCCAAGAGGGGCTAGCATGTGCCATCCTGGAAAATGTTAAAAATACAGTGATCTAAAATGATAAGAGAAAGAAAAATAAATTGCAAAATATTATGTGCCTTGCCACGACTTCTGGCACCATTTGCCTATGATTCCTGGTCCACAGGGAAATGTGCAATGTAGGGTTAAGCATGACAGTTTAATCCTATCTTTGCAACAAGTCTGCAGCATGACATTATGCAAATTACTAAAATTCTGTTTCTTTTTCAGCTTTCAAGACAATTTGCATTTCAGAGGGACATTCCTACAACACATTTGACAATGTTTGCTTAATTTCTTGTAGGCCTTGGGATTGGCAGAGTGTAAAGGCATCCCTTTCAGTTCCCCCTGAAGAACAATTGGTCAAGCATGACTACTTTCTTCATCCACAATAGTGTTTGTCATGACAAAGGAATTTTTATTCAGAACTTAACCCTGGCACTGTAATATGGTTATAGTAAAAGGACACAGGAAAAGAGTGCTTTTTCTATATATATCTTATTATTCCTAGGGATGTTTATATCATTCCTTGGCCTGTCCACACCTCTTTCTAAACATGCCTCAGGAGACAGCAGAGGGGTTTGCTTCCAAAAACCAAAACCACAGTAAAACCAAGCCAAACTCAGGAATCCCTCAGGCTGTTTCTTTTTGCAATAATTTTTTTTTTTTTGGTCTGGGTGGTCTCAGACTTAGCGTGTTTCAGAACACTTGGAATAGAATCATGGAACATAGAACTCAGAGTTAGGAAAACAAACAAACAATAACAACAAAAAACATCAGGAAGGACCATCTCTCTAAAGAGTGACACATTCAAGTCTTTTTATCATGGAAGCACGCTTCTCAGGGACTGACCATGGCAATCACAGAAACTCCTTATGGTAGATTTCTCAGGGTACTTAGATAAGGGAAGGAGCAGTTGAGAATGTTGAAGGAGAAAGGAAGAGGGTTTCCAAATGTGAAAATTTGACCTGGGAAAGATGATTCACCAGAAGGAAGTTTTTAAAACTTTGATTATTAGCAGAAAACAGCTTGCATTTTATTTTTCTGTCCTAGAGGTACTTTCAGAAGGATCACGTACTCATTGTTTTTGTGAATATACTAATTATAAAATGATGTTCTAATATCTGAAATCTAGGCTTTTTCTTCTCAGTAAGTTGAAAATTTGCCCTTTTCTCACTCTTGGTTCTCTGAGCACAAACTCAACACTTTCTTTATCTCTAGTATTATGTAAGGGAAAATAGATTTGTAAAGGGATAAGTAATTTGTTTTGTTTTTGTAGCTCTTTTTCTCCTTTTGACATTTTTCTTGTTTTTAACTTTGGCCATGGCAGTATTAATCATAAAAAGTGAAGAATTTTTATATTTATGTATTTAAGATGTGTATTTGTTTATTAAGTTTAAGTAGGGGTAGTCAGGCGTACAGCAGAGGTATTTTATACAACAGATACATTCCATCATATATGCAGTATTATTTAAGCCATTTCAATTCATGTCCTAGTTGGTAGGCTACTATAATGGCTATATAGGTAATAGTAATATCCAAAAGGAAGCTTATTTTCTGTAGAATAAGATACAAGTTAAAACAGTGTGTATGCTTGTATGCGTGTGTGTGTGTGTGTGTGTGTGTGTGTGTGTGTGTGTGTGTGTGTCTATGTGTGCATTTTGCTGAGATTGCACCCAGGACCTCACTCATGCTAGACAAGTGCTCTATCTGCTCAGCTATGCTCTCACCTAGGAGTTATATTTAATAGTAGTAATAAGAAAAAAATAAGTCCACGATGGTGGTAAATCCACATATGCACTTGTGCCTCTAGAAGCTACCATAGGATCATCCACATGATTAATTCTCTTGGATTATATTTAATTTTTATTTATTTATTTATTTTTGTCTTTTTCCTTTTTATCGGTACCAGGGTTCGAACTCATGATTGCCTGCTTGCAAGGTAGGCGCTTATGCCGCTGAGCTAAATCCCCAGCCCCTATATTTAATTTTTAAATTCTTAAGAGTATTGAAGAGAATATAAAGCCTCACCTGTATTGTTTGCTGGAGCTTGTTCCTTTATGTTCTGCTGATCTGAAATACTCAAAGTCATGAGAAAATGATTCTTTTTATAATTATATTTATTTTTTATTTTTTGGTACTAGGTATTTAACTCACAACCTTTTGCTTGCCAAGCAGGCGCTTATGCCACTGAGCTAAATCTGAGGCCCAAGAAAATGATTTTTTTTTTTCAGGAAAATTTAGAATACACCACATAGGTGAGATCATTACAGTACGTAAATGGAAGCAAATGTTTCATATTTGTTCATGACACAGGACTTCCCATACAACAATGTATAGACACCAGAAAGTTTGGGAGGTATAGTTAGTTGTTTTTGTACTTTACTAACAGAATTGCTGCTAAAAAGTCAGTTGATTTTTGAAAATCAACCCATAAAATTTTTTAGGTAATTCTTGGCTTTTTAAAACTTTCTATCTTAGGTAACAATAGTTTTTCATAATTTAATTTTTTTATTTAAATGTTTCCATATTTATTAAGCCCTTGTAAGTTCTATTTTTAGTACTGGAAATACACTAGTAAACAAGATAATGGAATCCCTGTTTTAATACAGTGTCATTTGTGGGGAAAGAGACAAACAAATACACATTTAAGTCAAGAAATATTAGCTATAATAATACCATCAAGCACATACTCATAACAGGGTAAATCACTCGCAAGCTAGAGATGGGCTCAGGAGCCTCTTCCAAGATTGTGCCATTTAAACTGAAACAAGAAACAGGAAGCAGCCTGTTAGTAATCGTCTGTGGACCTTTAAAGGAGAGGAAGAGGTAGGCATAACGTAAGGGGTGAGGTAAGGCTACTGTGAGTACAGCTTTAAAACAATGGGAGAGGAGTTCAGAAAATGAAAAGAGTGAGGTAAGACCTGTATGGAAAACAGTTTTGTAGGATTTTGTTGCAAGTGCAGTAAAGCTACGGGGGGCTTTCAAGTCACAACAAAATTGCCATTATTGAAGAAAAACAATCTGTGAAGGATTTGTATTTTGTTCTAAATGCAATGCAAGCTGTTGCTAAAGATAACTATTAAGACAAATAAGATTTATATTTCAAAACATACCACTAAATCTACTCTGTGATTTTTTGTTTACTGTCCCTGCGAGACTGTAAGTTCCAGAGGACGTAATCATATTTCCTATTTCTACACTATCTTTACCACCTATCTTTCCCCCTTCCTTGTTCCTAGCAAACATTATATATAGGACCTGGTGAGACGGAAATGAATTTAATGTGTTATAATGTGTTTCTTCAATCTTTCTGCTTTGGAACCTGACTTGAATTTTCAGTGAAGTGCAACTCCTAGATCACAAAGAGATCAGTTTGAAGGTTTCACTCTATTTTATTTTAATCACAGTGCTAGACACTACCTGCAGTCAGGTGGTGGTCTTTTCTCTCAGATATGTGTGGTCATTCAGATCCGGATACATAGGTGATAGTCTGCTCCAGAGGTGCTGTGAGACCTCTGTAATTACAAGTCAAACTTAGGGGATTGGTGATAAGGAAAGGATGTTGTCTATGGGTTTTGTTTGTTTTATTTAATGATGTAAAATTTGAAATGGCTCCTATTCCTTCTTGAGAAATATATGCCCATAATCTGCTATATTAGATAATAATCTATTTTTATAGATTATAGTAATCTTACAGTCGACTTTTGGGACATGCATCAAATGGAGGAACAAACAATAATCTTACAAAAGAGAGATGTTCAATAAAGAAATTCTGAAAAGAAATGTTAAAATGATAATTTCTGATTACTGATACACAATTTGCTTCTTTGAGAAAACACATATGGACACAGAGAGGAGAGCATGTTGTATAAGTTCATTTTCCCTGATTGTATGGAAAATTGATTCTTGGTAAATTTCAGGGATTCTCAGGCTCTGCTTCAGGCATTTTTCAAGAGCGTGTCTCATATTTAAAACTTTGGCAAGCAAGTGATACAAGCACCCATATAAAGACTGTGGTGATGCAGATGATGATTCAGTGCTAAGTAGGAGGACAGGTGAGCACAGAGAAGGCTGGTGCTGTGAACAAATCTAGTGCTGATAAAGAGACTTAGTTGAACTGGTAGATCACGCTTCTAGGACTGAGTCAATAATCTTATGCTTATATGCTGTCCTGCATACATTTTTATGGTCCAGAACTGACTCCACTCACTTGCTGGCTGATGACTTAGACCCAAGTGGGAGAAGCTCAAGTTTTGTTTTCTGTTTTGTTCCCCACAGAGCTCAGGACTCCTCTTTCTACTTGGCGCCCAGTGGCCCTGACGCTGCTAACTTTGTGTCTGGTGTTGCTGGTTGGCCTGGCAGCCCTGGGCCTTGTGTGTAAGTCTGCACTCTGCAGGGGGGAGGTTCCTAGTTCTCAGGTTTGTCTGGAAGGAGGAATACTTGTTACAGAATAGGTTTTGGTTTTTTTTTTTCCTTTAATTCTGAAACCTGGGAGTAATTCAATGTTCTTTTTGCTAAAGCAACTAATTAAATGATGAATAGTAGAAATAGTAAAATGTAGCAATCACTTGCCAACTAGAATTAAACATTTTAAGAAGCATTTTTTCCATCTATATTTCAGTGTCTAACTTCATGCATGCTCCATGCTGCTATTGTACAAGAATGAAGTGACTGGGTGTTTGTCCTTAGCCTGCGCGGTTGGCTTGGCCAGTGTAGATAAGAGACTTTGTTTATATTCACACCCTCAATACAAGGAGAATGGATAAGTTCTTTAATCACTGCAATAGTTTTCAAAAAGGCCATGAAATTAAAATCATTTAGCAAAAATTTGTGAAAAGCAAATAGGGAAAAATGCTTTCAGAAATCTTTAAATTTGAAACTAGCAGGAAATTAGAAACTAGGAGTTCCTTAAGGAAGTGAGTGTGTATAGGAACTGCAGGAGTTTATGCTGGAGGTTATTGAGACTGTGTCTATATTACACTGTACAATTCTTAGAACTACCGGGTATTCATGAATAAGGGAGAAAAAGGAAGTGAGTAAACTTGCCTCACTGGATTAGGACGAGAAGACCACTGAATGCCACAAAGAAAAGCAGATGTTTTAAATGTCAGAATTAGGTTTGTGTGACATCTCAGATTGACACTAGAGTGTCCTAATTCTTCACTTTTTAATGCCTACTTTATTCTGTTGCACATATGTGTGCCACGAAAAGGCCTTTACTCCTCAAATCTTCCTTTTTGCTTCAAAAGTGGGGTTTTATAGGAAATACCAAACATTTTGTTTATGGCCTCTTAATTTTAAAAATAAAAATTTATTTGTTCTCCCAACTTCTTGTTTCATTTTTACATGACTAGTGTTTTGCAACTACTATTCTTCTTAGGAATATAATGCAACTGAGGATTCATAAGGCATTTCTATATTTAGGTTTAGAAAACTGAAGTTCAAGAGCGGGTTGAAATTTTCTGGTTAAGTGACGTTAAGGAAGCTACTTTCTCTCATTAATAATGCTTATAAATTTATGAGAAATGGATACAAAATTTATAGTTTTAAAATTTGAATGAGCAACAATATATGACACATTGACCGTATTCAATATACTGAACAGTAGCTATGTGGTTTAGGCTGAGTGACAGTTGATCGTACATAAAAATAAGAAAGTTTGGAATTTACTTTTGAAGTTAGGGGCTATTATTATGATTCCATATTTTTAGATTGATTTAGAGAAATTAATTTTCCCATAACATAATGATTTGTTATGTATATCCTAGAATTTGAACTCAAATATAGCAATTAAGAACTGAGGCTCTAGGACCTTAAATGATATACTTTTTTTGTCCTCTTCATAAGTGAAACAAAGAAGAAGGAATTAAGAAATAGGCTGCCAGTGTGACTTGGTTGCTTGATTAGTTTTTCAGTTCTACCAGCTCTCCAACATTCAGCAAGCCATCATCACTGAAAAGGAGGAGAGGCTGGGGAACCTGTCCCAGCAGCTGCAGTCTCTTCAGGTTAAGAACAAGAAGCTCGTGGACACTCTGCAGCGTGTGGCTGAAAAACTCTGCCGTGAGCTCTATAATAAAAGTGGGGGTAAGTCTGTCCTCATCTCTGTGTCCCTAGACTATCTGTCAATTTAGAGCTCAGTTTTCTATCACCTTAACTGGGAACTGCGTATCAGTTGACTGGTTTGCTTTGAACTCAGTAAAGAGTTTGAACTTCAAGATCTGAGCTGTTACGGGATGGTGCAGCTCACACATGTCTGTGTAGGACCCATGAACGGATTCCTCAAATGCAACATTAGAAAACACAGAAACGTGGGGGCTGGGATTTAGCTCAGCGGCATAAGTGCCTGCCTTGCAAGCAGGCAGTCGTGGGTTCGATCCCCGGTACCGGTAAAAAGGAAAAAGACGGAAAAAAAAAAAAAAAAAAACAGAAAACACAGAAACGAGTAGCTTGAAATGACCAATATAATACTATAAATAAGTAAAATTCAAGATTATGTCTCAATTTACTATGGCACATATGCTTAAAAATCCATCTGAGTCAAGAAGTTAATAAATTTATAACAGTAGTTCTTAAGTTTGAAGAACCATACAAGGATCAAATATAAAATGTAGATAGCCTTCATCAAATCCTAGTTATTTTAATTCTGTATTATTTGGCTGGATACCAAATACAAGCTTTTAATTTAACTTAATTTATTTATTTTGTCTTCTTGAGACAGGGTCTCGCTGTGCAGTTCAGTCTGGCTTTGAGTTAACTTTGTAGCCTAGGCTGGTCTTGAACTCGCAACGATCCTCCTGCCTCAGCCTCCTGAGTGTTGGGATTATAGGCGTGAGCCACCACACCCGGCTTTTATTTTATTTATTTATTTGATCTTTTTCTTTTTTATCGGTACCAGGGATTGAACTCATGACCGCACACTTGCAAGGCAGGCACTTATGCCGCTGAGCTAATCCCTAACCCCTTTTTATTTTATTTTTTGAGACAGGGTCTGCAGTTCAGGCTGACCTAGCATTCACTTGATAGCCTAGTCCTCGAACTTGCAGCGATCCTTCGGCCTCAGCTTCCAAGTGCTGGGATTACAGGCGTGCACCACCATGCCTGGTTAGAAGCATTTTAATAAGGACTATAGATAATGGCAATACTATACTTTGATTTAAAATGTACAGCTGACAAAGACAAGAAGTATCACTTTAATCTCTGTCTCACTCTATCACTGAATTTCTGTTTGTCTGCCTTTCTCTGTATGTCCTACTATTCTCTCTCTCTCTCCTCTCTCTCATTCTCTCTCATATTTGTGTTTTACTATTCTCTTGACTTTCTTGGATTTCATGGTGGTTCATTAGCTTCATTAAAGTCAATCTTTTCTTTAGTTTTCTTATACATGTATAAGAGGCAACATATTTTTTTTTTTCTTTTTCTCTTTTGGTACAAGGAATCAATCTCAGGGCTTTGCAATTGCCAGGCAGGTACTTGTGCCCTGAGCTATGTCCCCCATCAGCATACATTTTCAAATCTGCGTTATTTATCATTTGAGAACACTACAGTAAGATGATCTCTTTTTCTTTCACAAACATACCACTTTCCATCCTCAGCAGAAACTCTGATTGTGTGATTACCCAGTAAATAATGCCACACTTCTGCTTCTCCAAGTGATTCTTTCCTTTGTGACCAATGATCTCACTGACTATAATTTTCTTATTCTTTCTGACTACCCAGCTGGATATTATTATTTTCTTTTTGGTCTCCTATCATCAAAAGGATAATCCACATTTCTATGAAAACAGTGGTCTCTGGAATTTTCATCTGGTATATAAAAATAAAAGGAAAGCTAGGGAAATAAGTCATATTTAGCTTAAATATGAAATTGACATATAAATGTTAAGAACCAGGTATATAAGAGTACATAAGAAATAACATCCAGGTCTGGCCCGCAATAAACTGATTAGTGTTCCTCATGTTAAGAGAAGAGAAGCAGAAACAGAAAAGACTACAAGAGAAAAAAATGATCAAAGATGTATTTTCATGTATTTATACAACTAAATTCTTTTCCTGAGGGTATTGGCCTTGATTATACTAATATTCTTGCTTCATAGATCACAAACAATTTTAAATGTCGCATTCTATAATATATATACATAGATAATTTATATGTAACAAAAATTCACAGAAAGCACAAGTATGCATCTTTAATATTCTTAAATATGTTTGTAATTTTCCTAGTTGTACATACCATGAACAAAGCAGCCTATTTTCAGTATATACATTAATCTAGCTAAAACAAAAAAAAAAATATGAGCTTTCTCCTTAAACATACTTTGCCTATATAGGTGCGTTTTTATAAAATATCATGTGTGTGAAGTGAACTTGTTCTGGCTTTTATTTCATATTCCTAAATGATTACATAATATTAAGTTAGATAAAGTTACAGAGGTGAGAGGGTTTTGTACCTCAGTTTCTTTAGTTGCATGGTGTTTCTAGCTATTTCACATAAGGCCCCCAGTCTTTTTTTTTGCTTTCCATCTTATCAACCTTTGCAACGCTTTATACATCCTTTAAAGTTACATTTTTTCATCAGGTTTTGGGGATGCTGCATGTATAAATTCTTGTCCTTAGTGCTATTTATATTTTCCATATTTGCCCTTTGCCACAATCCTTTTAGATGAGCATCATTTCCTCTTCTGATCTAACTCATAGGAGGTCTGAAGCTCCTTTCATTTGGGAGAGAGTTTGTCCAGCTTTGTCCTTTTCATGATGGCGGAATTCTAAGATGAGCAGAAGTATCCGAGGAAGAGAGAGAGCGCTCAAAGTTATACAAATGCACAGCAATTTCGTAGCCATCATGTGATAAAGATAACCTCCTAGATTATTTATTAATCCAAAATTTTCATGAAAAATTTAAAATACACAAGGAATTATTAATAATATAACATCCATCAGGATAGTGACCAGATTTTTCAATGAATATTTTCTATTTTTATAGGATACAATATAATTTGAGTCAGTATGCAATGCATAATGATCAAATAAGGGTAATTAGCCTGTTCACATTTTCAAATATTAATTACTTTTATGTTCTGGGAAACTTGGTACTCTTCTTTTTATTTAGAAATTCATCATAAATTGCTGTCGATTTTATAGAACAATTAGAACATCAAAATTTATTTTTTCTCCGTGTTTTGGTGCATCTTATCTAAGTTCTTGTCGTCCCCTGCCCAGCTCCTTGCCTTGCCAGTCTGTAGTGACCAGCATTCTCCTCTCCTCTTCTATGAGTTTAGTCTTTACTTTCCACAAATGAGAGAGAACATTCAATATTTGTCCATTTCTGACTTACTTTACTTAACATGATGCATTCTAGGTCTATCTACTTTGACCCAAATAACAGGATTTCGTTTTTATGGCTGAATATTTTTACACTGTATATATATATTACATTTCTTTTATCTGTTCATTTGTTCTTGGACCCCTTGGATGAATCATACTGTGGCTGTTATTGTAAGCTGTCTTGCAATAAATATGAGTGAGCAAATGTCTCTTTAATCAAATGACTTCATGTGCCTTAGACACATGACCAGGAGTGTGAAACTGAAAAATAGCTTTTAAAGGAATCTTCATAGTAATTTCCGTATAGTGCCTGTCCTAGTTTACATTGCCACCAATAGTATAAAGAGCTCCTCTTTCTATAGATCCTTGCCATTTACTTGTTATTTTTTTTCTGGATATTGGCACTTTTAACTGATATGAGGCAGTATCTCACTGAGGTTTTTACTTGCATTTCTTTAGCTAATACTGGGTATGAGCATTGTTTTACACATATTTATTGGTCATCTGTATGTTTTCTTTTAGAAATGCTTATTTAGATCACTTTCCCATTCGTAACTGGTTTGTTTTTGTTGATGACTTTGAATTCATTATATATTCTCGGTATTATTTTTCAAATGAATAGTTTACAAATACTTTTTCCATTTGCATTGATATCTCTTGATTGTTTTCTTGTCCATGTAAAAGCTTCTCAATTTGGTATAAATCCATTTGCCTATTTTTACTTTTATTGCTTATGCTTTTGGGCTCATGTTTATAAAACTCTTTGCATAGCATTTCTCCAGTGTTCCTTATGGTACTTTTATGGTTTTTGGTGTTACATCTAAGTCTTCCACCCATTTTTTTACTTGCTATACTGTAGAGGATAGGAATCTACTTTCTTTAATCTGCACAGTTTTGCCAGGACTATTTATTGAAGAAACGTTTGTCCCTTTGGTTAATGTGGAAAACTCAGTTGGCTGCATGCTTATGGATTAATTATGGCATTCTCACTTATTTTCTATTTGACCATCTAGATTTTTAGCATGTTAACCGTGTCACACTAAACTGCTTTGAAAACAATGAAACCTTTATGAATATGATTAAATTTCTTGCCCAATCACTTATCCACAGAGGACTCAGGTCCTGACTCTCAAAGGTCAGGTACCCACATAGTGTTTAAACCGTGACTCACAAGGCCATATGTATTCTGGCAGCAAAATCATGGCCCAATTTGCACTTGACTTTTCTAGACTGGATGCCCATTTGAATGTTTTTTGTTTTTGTACTGGGGACTGAACTCATAATCTTGAGCTTGCCAGGCAGGGACTTGTGCCACTATGCTAAATCCCCAACCCACCCACTTTAATATCTGACACATAAAAATGTATCACTGTAACTTCATGCTTTTCTCAGGGTTCATTTTTTTTCCTAAAATTCTAGTTTTGATTAGAGTAACGATAGGATTCATCTCATATTGGTATATATTATTTTTTTCAAAAATCTACCTTCTATTGTTCAGGAGGATTTTGAAGAGAAAATTAAAGATCTTTTGTTTCTTGAAAACATGCATTTTGAGTTTCTGAATCATGAATAGCTTTATAAGACTAATTATTCTCTCCGTGGATTGAATCACATAGGCAAGGGCCAAAGAATTTCCATTACTATGTCTCATACTTCATTTAAGAAGTTCGTTTCTTCTTTAATTTCCACTTACTAGTCATTAAAATTTGCTGGAATATTGTAAATGCTTAGTAAATATTTGTATTTATTATTGCCTGGGGAATTAAATTGTCCAAAACAGAATTAGTTTGTTCTTGGGACATTAAATTCCATATAAGTTCATGAGAAGAAAAACAGCACAGTCAGGTAAAAACTAACTTACTGAAGTTTTTCTTCCCTGTCTTCTCTACCTGCAAGGACCCAGGTGCAGCCCTTGTCCAGAAAAATGGAAGTGGCACGGGGATAAATGTTACCAGTTCTACAGAGAAAGTAAGAGTTGGCAGGGCTGTGAATATTTTTGCAGTGCTGAGAACTCTACTATGCTGAAGATAAATGCACAAGAAGTTTTGGTAATGTCCTGAGTATTTTCAATTTGAAAATGTATCCATCAGCTTTTTGCCTCAGAGACAAAACACCTGACATATACGATTTAAAAGAAGAAGGATTTATTCTGGCTCATGGTTTTAGGTGTTCCAGTTCATGGTCAGTCACTCTCAAGACAGAAATATGAGGGCCAAAGGACATGGTGGAGAAATCTGTTTACCTTGTAGAAGCTGGAAGCAGAGAGCTTGGGAAGAGCCAGATAGGAAACAATCAGATGTAGTCTCCAGTGTCAGACTAGCTCAGACACATCTACAAGTGTCCTTTGTTAAACTTCTAGGCCTCTCTCATGCCCATCAAGTTGGCAATCAAGATTAACCATCACTGAATGATTCTTTCGAAAAAATTCTTGTGTAAAAAGAACAGGGTAAACTGGGCATAGTTACACATGCATGTAACCATAGCACTCAGGAAGGCCTATAACTCAGGAAACTGAGGCAGGAGGATGGTGCATTGTTCAAGGTCAGCCTACACTACAAAGTGAGATGCTGTCAAAAAAAAAAGGAAGAAGAAAGAAAGGAAGGAAGGAAGGAAGGAAGAAAAGAAAGAAAGAAAGACAGGGAGAGAAAGAATAAATAAGAAAATTCTGATGAGTCAAATTGACTGACCCATGGATTTTTCCACTTACTTCAGTTTAGGCTCAAGTCTTATTCCTGTTGCTTTGAGTGATTTACTGAAGTAGATAAAAGCATCTCTACTATTTACAGATACTACATAAACCTGAGTAATAACATCCCTGCAGGCTATCTTTTCATTCAGGAAGAAAATGGGGAATGTTTTTAATTTCCTTCCTCTTTTGATTTGTATAGGGAGGGAACAATATTTATAAAATGGCTAAAAAGTGAAAATAACATGTCTGCCCTTCCATTATAAAAATGAGAAAGCTGTTAATTGAAAAATATTCAATGATATCTTCAGCATAATCTGCGAACATATATTGTGCCTTCCCGAAGACTAGACAATGTAGAAATCAGAATAAGCATACAATTTGACACGTATCAAATAAGCACACTATTAAAATAGTATGATTGTTCCCTCTCATATTATTTTGTTTTTGGATTGAAGTCCTCCATCAATGTAATCATTACTTATTTATTATTATTTCTCTAGAATTTAGCAGAAGTTATTGAGGCAAAGCAGATAATCAAGAAATGGTTAATTAAATACACAACTCACTGTAAAATTCTTAACACCCTTCTAATTACATCTTAATTTGAACCATTTCCTAAAATCTTCATGAATGATTCTTTGTAATTCCTATCATTTACTAGCACAATATTTTTACCCTTTCTTTTAGGCTCAGTTTATGCATAAAGGGAGGATTTTCTTTTACGAGTGCAACATGAATTGGCATAAATCCTCCTAATTGTTCTTGTTTTCTCTGCCTCTTTCCCATACTGGTGACACAGATATATAATTCATGTACTACATGCAGTGGTGGAAAGTTTTCTTCTGAGAGCTCTATAATTATTTTCTCTCAGGTACTTTATACATTTATATATATTTTAATCATTTTCACATGACTTGCTTTCAGAACTTTTAATTTGAAGGAACCCTCTTTTACTTAGAAAACATATTTTCAACCACAGTTCTTTTCACATGCCCACTTTATTGTCTTCTAACAGTTTCACCTACAGTTCCAATACTCTGGTTGAATCAACAGGTACCAAAATTAGACATAAGTGTATAACAATGATTAATGCAATGTGATTGTCTTAAAAAACTCACAGAATGGTAGAAAGAAAAGACATATTATACTCAATTTAGAGAATTTCTACTAACATTATTAGGAGTATTAAATAAGACTAGATAAAAAGGGGTAAAAAACTTTTTAAAATTTCAATATGGATATTACAAAAAATTGTCACTTACCTTACTATGAAGATTTGCACAAACATATGCGCATAAACATGAAAATTTAAAAATTTCACTTCCTCCTGTAAGAAGTAACCCTTTCAAATTCTTTTACCAGCTTTAAGTTGAAGCATATTCCCTATTGTTTTCTCATTAGCTTTCTCTCCTGCGTGCCTTTTCACAGGATTTTTCCATGCTTCAGAGCTACTCTGAGTTTTTCTACTCTTATTGGACAGGGCTCTCCCGCAACGGCAGTGGCGAGGCCTGGCTGTGGATGGATGGAACACCTTATTCCTTTCAACTGTAAGCCCTTTGAGCATTTTGTGGGAAAGGCATTTAATAAAGTATTGGAATTTAGTATCTTGGTTGCAAGCATTCATCCAGTATATCCTTTGTACTGGATACTGTGATGTTTGCAGGGAACTCTTAAAATGTTGGAGACAATGCTTGCTCTTGAATTTGAATGGCTTATAAAGTGACCAGGAAGACAAATGTTTAGTAAATGTCAAGGGCCACTTCTATGACTGTTTTCAACAGAGCATATCTAGGAATCACTGTCAATGTCCACCCAGCACAAAATGAGAGAGACAGAGAGAGAGAGAGAGAGAGAGAGAGAGAGAGAGAGAGAGAGAGAGAGAGTTGTTGAAGAGTAAACTGAAATCCAGGAGGAGCCAGGTTGTAATGGTGATTCTAAGGTCACACAGAGTGTCAATACACAGAACCAGACACGGGATAAAACATTTGATTTCTTGACTTTCTATAGAGTGAAATAAGGAACACATGTTTAAAAATATATTCACCAAGAACAGCTTCTGTATTTTCCACAGTAATGACTTTCATGTTGTGGAGGGTACTTCTTTTATTACTTTTACTTGGCTTATTCTGCAATCTGTTTCTTTTCTTACCTTGAATAAATATAAAACTTTGGATATAGTCACTGAGAATAGATTTACTGATAATATTTAAGAACTGCTATAAAACACTACTTTTACTTATGATGGGAGCATTAGATAGAAATATGCATGGAACTCTTTGAAATAGGAAAATGTAGCTTTGTACCAAAATATGTTATATTTAAAAGTGTATTTGAACAGATATCTTTCTCCCTTACAATAAAACATTTATTTTCCTGGGATGTGAGCAAATTCATGAGATCATTTGTATTTTGTATTTAAATAAACTAAGTCACAGAAAAGTTATACATTTTTAAAAATAGCAATAAAATCATAGGACATATTTGAATTGGAACGTGTATTTTCCCCCCTCAATACTGGGAAATGAACCAAGAGCCTTTGGGCTGAGCTATATGTTCAGTCTTTTATATTTTAAATTTTGAGATAGGGTCTCACCTAGGCACTAAATTGCTCAGCTTGGTCTCAGACTTGGGATTCTCCTACCTAAATTTTGCAATATGATAGGATTTCAGGCATGCAGCACTGTACCAGAGTGTCTATGTTTTATTTAGAAATAGTTTTGAGGGGCTGGGGATTTAGCTCAGTGGCATAAGCACCTGCCTTGCAAGCAGGCAGTCATGAGTTCGATCCCCAGTACCGATAAAAAAAAGAAATAGTTTTGAGTCCCCTGATTCTTCTAAGAAGGAGATGGAAATGAAGTGTTGAAAATAAAGAACTTGGTGATCCCATCTTTTCAGTAAACCCATTCTACCCCAGAAAGGCTTTTATGTGCTTTATTGCTCCTTAACATTTCCTTTAGAGATGATTAATTAACCTTCTTCTTTTTTTAAGGTTCGAGATAATAATAGATGCCAGCAATCTGAGAAGCAGGGACTGTGTGACCATCCTCAATGGCAAGGCCTTCTCCAAAGACTGCAGGGAGCTCAGGCGGTGTGCCTGTGAGCGGACGGCTGGAAGAGTGGATCCTGAGAAGCTCCACTAGCTGCTGAGTTTGGGGCGTTCATGTTCAACTCCAACACAAAGGTCAGGCCATGTGAGGCCAGTGCAAGGGATGAGCAGTATGAGACACTGGAAGTAGAAGATACTCAAGGAAAGCAATTGCTTGTCTCCTGCTCAGGATCACCGGCCTTTCTGAGCTTGAGCTTTTTGCACAAACACACCATGGACCATTAACTGGCCCCAGAAACCTGTGAAGCTGTCATCTACCTTTTTGACTTAGAGATAATTTTTTAGTTCTTTTCCTTCTCAGTACCCAGTTTTACTTCTTTATTTCCTTTCTTCCTTTTGTTTAAAGAAGAAAGTATCTTACTGAAGTAAAAGAATTCAGTGGAAATGGTATCATTTGCTCCAACAGTCAGTGGACTAGGACAAATTAACAGACATTTACCATACTTGCTGCTAAATACCTAATTTTGTTTGTTCCCGTTTTATACTTTTTCAGTCTCTCAGTAAGACTCAATCTGCTTTGCCAATGGTCAGCTTTCCAACTGATGTATCATTCTTGATGAGATGTTAACTTCTAATAGGTATACCTCTTTGTGCCTGGGAAGATTTCAAGAACTGCTTCTTTCCCCTAGGAGTTTATTATCAGTATTTACAACTAAAGTATTTACAACCTAAGAATCACTGCCCTTTCAAGGAAATTGAAGATGAGCAAGAAAAAAGTGTCTCTTAATTGTATCTGGCACCTTGGATTTAGTTCTTACTGCCTCCTATTTAATCAGTGTTTATGTCTTTCAGGTACTAAGGATTTAATAATAATAATAATAAATTAAATAATGTGAAGAATGTGTAGTTTTATAATGGATGTGTGATTTGGGAGGAAATCTATTATGAGTATACTTTTCAAAATATAATAATGATTCTTCTGGTTACTTGTGCCTTACTGAGAATTGGTGAGAATGCTAAGAGAATATTACCCATCTGATTATTTGGAAAAAATGCATGTTGTAATTAAAATACATAGTTTTAGGGCTGAGGATTTAGCTCAGTGGCATTAGCACCTGCCTGGCAAGGGCAAGGTTTGATCCCCAGTAAAACACACACACACACGCAAATAATTAAAAAAAAATTTTTAGTATCTTTGAGTCAATGGTCTGAATGTTTTCCCAAAATGAAATGTTTTGAAGCAAGATCATGACTTTAATACATGGTCATTGAGTAAGCTGACTTGTGAAAGACCACGTGATGTCCACTCAGTTTATGAAAGTGCAAGAGAGGCTGTACCATTCCCACAGTTAGGTTTTGGACTAGTCACGTCTTTCTTAACTACATTCACAACAATAATGGAGATCTTTGCAGACAATATCATCACAATCACTGACTTCGTTCATTAAGTATGATTCAGTTTTAAGGGTTTAACATTAGGAAGTATCTCCTACTATAATTAAATTGTTTTAATTTAATTGCTTCAGTTTAATTTTCAGTAAACATCTATCTCATCGTGAAACTGAATTTGTGATCTTGGGATGAAATTAGTTCTGTGTTCATTTTTGTAAGACTTCATTTGGTAACATCATAACTTTTTAGATTCTTCCTTGAGAGTTTTAAAATATTTTTTCTGATTAGCTGGGAAATTCATTTACTTTTAAACACATTTTATTCTTGATCACATAATGATCACATTCGTCACAGGGGATTGGTGTCTGTACATAGTATACCTTGATTCTTCTTTTATCCCCAGTTGCTGTCTTTCTGTCAACCCCTCTTCCCTACTTTTTACAAAAGCTTCGGTTCCATGTTTTTTTCTAGTCTCCTTTTACCTCTCCTTCTTTCCTTCCTCCTCTCCTCCTTTGTTCCCTTTCCCATTTGAACCCTATCTTGCTGTTTCCCAATATCTTTTTATACATTTCTGGGTAAATGGATGTACCGTGAGACCATACTCTTAGGTGAAATAAATTGAACACACAAGTTTAAAGTGTGGCATTGTTTCTCGCTCTGGTGGGAGGGTAAATAAGGACAATGATTTTTAACTGGATTGCTCTGAAAAGTTCAGTTGCCTGGAGAGGGCATGGTCAATAGCATTCATGCTCCAAATCTGGGGCATGAAAGAAAGTGTCATTTTAGATGGCAAGAAGAAAAAAAATTACCTTTTATCAGACATTCTTTTCTTGAACTTTGTCTTTGCCCTTAATTCCCTTGTCTGTACCATAAAATTCTCAATATGAATTGCTTTATGAACAAACATTTCAGAATGGAAAGAGAGTATGGCATATTTTCTTCACATATTTTTCAAAAATTTAAATATAGGAAATGATCAATGAAAAATTTTCATTTAATTTTTAACTAAAATTTTAAATATGAGAAATAGTCATAAATGAACAGAAAATACGATGCGCCGAGAACCATTTGCAGTTGAGAATCAGAAAGGTGAAACATGAATTGGTTTTGAGGCATCAGTAGACTCTCTTACAGGTTTTTCTGTGTGCAAATAATTCAGAACAAATTGCAGGAAAAGTTATACAAGGAACAAGCCCTTTCCTGGTGGAACCGAGTTCCCCAGAGTACACAATGAACCCTTTCTCTTCCTGAGGATATTAAATCTGCTCTGAGGACTTATCAACAGGAAGCAGCTCAGAGTCCTGTAACAGCAGGAAGTGCAAGAAGAGTAATGGGGAGCTTTTATTTGCTGGATGAAAGCAAACTATTAACCACCTATAAGAGTTTAGCATTGTGTTTCAGGACCAGGCTTATGGTTTAGAAAACAAATCCTCCATAGAAGGATTCTTGAAATATTATATTAAATGAGATGGACCAAAAATATCCAATTAAGGATGGGATATAAAACTAGTTATCTCAGTGCTAACTGCCTTTAAAAACTCTTGGGAACCTGGGTCAAAACAACCAGCAGGGAAAACTATCATATCCATAACATCTGTGGAAGCAACTTTATTGCTGAGGAAATTTATAGGAACTCCTATCAGTTGCATTGTAGATACAATTGTAACTTGTAAATACAGCATGCCTATGGGCTGGTTGGTATCAGATAGAGGATGTTTATCTTTGTTTCATTGTACTTTTTCTAAGAAGAATTGTAGATACTTCCTATTCTTTCTCTAAACATAGGTCCATGACGATACTTTGAAGAATCTTACAGACAAAGGGTCTTTACTACTAAAAATCGCTGTGGTTTCCTCCTTTATTATACATTATTATATTTAGCTCCCATCTGTGAAAACCAAACACAGGAGCTAACTTACATTGTTTTTGTTTTGTTTGTGGGGGGACTATTTTACTTGGTAAGGAACAACAGAACACTAAAGAAATTTATTTTGTTGATACTATTTAAACTCCAATTCCAAGGTAAATTAAAAAACAATGAAACAAAACAAAACAAAAAGATATCCTCTTCCCATTCTTACAGGACTTTTCCTATGGTAAAGAGACAGTTAGGCCAAAATATTTTTCATTTCATTTGAATGATCTGCTACCTTAGTGAATTAGATTTTGATTTATATAAGAGATGTTTTCAATGAAGGAAGAAAAAAATGATAACCCAATATATATCAGCTATTTCTTTTGAGAGACAAAGGATCAAATACAATTATATAGACTTTAGCAAATATCTACAGAGGGCACAGCATTGCTGAGGCATTGCTCTGCTTATAGGATATTAGTGGGAAATATAACACTTAGTGAACACTTGCATATCAACTGTCACTTAGAATAAAGATACTCTGAGTTTTAATGACCCTATGAACTATGAACAGGAATTTTTAGAAGAGTTATTTGAGGACAATTCACTAACTTTAAAACAGACTGCTGACAGTTTACATAAAAATGTTACCTGCAGTGTAAGCAGAAATAAGGTTCTGTGTTTGCCTGGAATATACAAGTAAGCTTGATTCCTAGAGATGATTAATGATTTACTCCAAATAATAATCACAAGCACTGATACAATGCCCAAATGGGTACAAGACACCATCTCAACCACTTACATTATATTCCTGATTTAACTCTCAAACAAATTTTGGAATAATTACTAACATTATTTTTTAATGTGGAAATTGGAGCATTAAGAAACACAGTTGTGGGCTGCTCACTTTGGGAGTGCAAACGGTGAGCCCTTTGATTTGTGAGGGGCGGGTATGGACAGAGGGCAAGAAGGAAGCTCACAGCTGTCCTTCACTGTGGGACGTGCTGGGACTTGCATCCCAAATACTTTTCCACTTATGTCATGTTTTAGATATTCACTTCTCCAGCGGGACTCAGCAGTCTTGAAAAGAAAACAATCTGAGACTGCAGACAGAAACCTTCTTTCTTTCGGGTTTGGAAATCCCTATCTCTGGCCCTCTCACTCTGGCAATCCAATAATATATATAATACCTGCAAGCTTAGGAAACATACACAAAGATGTGGAAGACAATAAATTTGGAAGACCAGTTTCATTTACTTATCTGTTTTTAAAAAATCAACCAGCTATAAATGTACCACCTCCCCTAATGACACATAGGTTTCTGTGTGTGGCATTTGTAGTTACTCTAGAATTTTTTTTAAAAGGACAGGATTAACTATTTTATTTACATCATTCTCAGTGTATCAGGATTTGGTCCATTGTAACTGTAAATCAATTTTACTCTTGGCAATTTGAACAATATCAATTGAAGCTTAGGAAAGTATTGACAAATATTTCCAGGAATACATACAAAAGCATGTTTTGAGTCCCAAAAAAGTCGGCTTCACAGCTCCCACAAATATCAGTTTACTTCTGTATTTGCTGTTACGTTTTTCTGTGGCAGGTTTTCCAAGTGCTTTTCCCAAATATCAGTGCAAAAGAGGCATCACTTTGAACAATTGCCTTCAAACAGGAGATCTTAATGCTTCCTTCTCACAGATGAAGTATTTCAAATAGCTGCAATTAGTGGAGAAAAGGGAGCTATCTCTGATGTATCTGCAGACCTGGCTAATTGATTGGGTTCTCTTTATTTGCAATCTGGAAAAACAAGTCAAAATATTTGAGGTTAGAGTTGAGAGTGACAGTGATGTTTTTGAAAGAGACTCATGAGAAATGCTTCTTGTTTTATTTTCTTTTAAGATGGCACCTCCCTATGTTTTTATCTTCTTTGTTCAATAATAGCTCAATTTTGTTCTCAATAAAAATATGTTACAAGTAGCTTATAATGCAAACAAAATACATGTGCAATCTTTGGACTAAATTCACTTGATTCTTAATTAGTCCTTTTAATTTTAGCTGAAAAGCTTATTATGGAAATTCCTTAGTAATTGTTACAATTTCTTTTTCTTAGAGGTCCCTAGGCATCAAGTGATAGAAAGGAAATGCACTTCACAATTACATATTGCTCACTTAGACACTCAAAAGTTGGGTGTGAACTGTTTAGAGCACAATAGTAAGAGAGGATTGGAAGGAAGAAAATTTAGAAGGTCTGAAACTTCCTTTCTGTTATATTTCCATTATAATAGATAACAACCTATAAAACTTGTAGAAAATAAATGTTTGGATTGTCTTATTTTTCTAGTTTTCCTTGTAACATTTCTCTTAGACTTACAGCTCAGGAGAAGGAGAGGAGCCATCTTGCGAAAGCCATTGTCCCCTGAGTCCATCCTGAGACAGTTCCACCCAGTACTCAGAGCCAGCTTTGACCTTCTGCAAGATGCTGTTGATAAAATCCTGTAAGAAACAAAACCTGCACTGTGAAAAGAAAGAAACAGTAAACAAGGCCACTCTGAAATATAAAGCCTGAAATTGTTGGGCGTGGTGGCACATGCCTGTTATTCCAGCATTAGGGAGGCTGAAAAGGGAAGATTGCTGTGAGTTTGAGGCCAGCCTGGGCTACAAAATGAGTTCAAGATCAGCCTGAACCACATACTGAAACTACCTCAAAATATCCTGAAATTTTACTAGTCAGAAATTAATGAGAACTTGAATGCAATGCTGGAGAAAGAGATGGTATTTAAAAAGCAGGAATATATTTTACAGACCCTTTTCTATCTTAATGTAATCAGTGTGGTATTAATGACTCTGGAAAAAAATAGGACTCTGGTATGAAATTAATTTTTCAGCAAATCCAGTATCTGATAGATAGCATGTATAAAAACAAGATGAATTGTTACACTGTTCTTTATTAGTAGTAAAATCATCCATAGCATCCTACATCACAAATACCACTCTTTTCCACTATACTTTGGTATGGGAAATAGTCTAGGAGATTACATTACAGGGGAAATTTAATTAGAAACATTTTATTGGAGGAAACATTTCTAACTTTTATCATCAAATTTGCAAAGAAAATAATTTTATGAACCCATAATTTGAAAAATTTAGTTCAAGTCTACATCTTCAACAAATTGTTTTTCCATTAATCTTGTAGAAATGAACTAATTACTGAATACAGCAGCTATGTATACTTCATATGATCAAAATGTGCAATTGTGCATTTTGTTCTACTCTTATTTATGGGTGGAATACTTTTAGATAAACATGATATTGTTTATTTGTTAAGGTGTTTGTAAACTAGGCTTAATGCCAATTAAAAATTTATTTTTCCAATACTTATTTTTATTGGAAATGTTAACTTCATGATAGCACTTCAGTTTTTATATTTCTATGCTCTTTTCCTGATTACAATTGTAAAAATGATTGTACTTCCCTACAATATTGAAAGTTATGCATTTAAAAACATACATACAGTTATTATGTGGTATAGTTTAAAGTAGATTAGAGTGTCATAGAATAATATTCCTTACCCCCCCCTCCCTTTTTAGGACATAGACCCAGTATCTTCTTCTTGATTTCTGAAAGTCTGACCTGTTTGCTGTTTCTCCCACTAAAAAGAAAATAAACCATACATTTTACTTGGATCCCTTAAAAGTGAACTTCAGTAAATATACTACTGCGATAGAATACTGAGAGTCTGTCTTATGATAATCTACTCTTTCTTTTAATAAGAAACACAGTGTTTGTATTTTCAGAATAAGAACATAAAACAATGTTTACCATTTCTTCTTTGCTGTCTATTTGTAGAAGACTGGAACCGTCCTTCAAACAATCTTCTTTACTAGAATGCCAAATTTTCTGGTTCTCAAAAACATGATAACAACTTTCTCCATTCTGAATCCAGTTGTATGGACAAGGGCTACAGTTATGGGCTTTGAATATAAACATTTACGTTATTATCATCATTGTAAAATACCAGTATTTACCCAGAATAACTACACTCAAAACTCCTAACAATATTCACGAATTCCCCGTATATTTATCAATTCCAGCTTCTCCAAAGGTGAATGCAATGCAATTTATATAACGATTCTTACCTGCCATAGCTTTCAAAGTGTTGATTCAAGTTAGAGTTGATTTGGAGATATGTTTATCCAAATCCTTCACCTTATATAAAAATTGATCTGAATTTTCAAGTTTTATCCATCATTTCATTCTTTAAATTTACAATCTGCTCTTGTTTTCTTAGTATTTCATGCCTGAAAATCTTACTGCCTCAGTTTAGCAAGAAATGTACTGATCATTAGGTGGGCTGAATAATAAACCACATATTGTGGGATTCCTCACAAAACTAAAACTAAAACTAGAAATTCCATTTGAACCAACTATTGCCTTTCTAGATATCTTCCTAAAAGAGTTAAAAGTCATCACATTATGGGAGTAAATAAATATTCATATTTATAACAACACAATTTATAATAATTAAATGTTGGAAATGCCCTATCAACAGGTGAATGGGGAAAATGTAATTATACACAATGGACTATTGCTCTGACACAAATAAATTAGATGTATTCTTATATAAATGGATGCACCTTGAGTCTATAATATTGAGTAAAATAAATCAGATACACGAGCTTAAATATTGTGTGGTTTCCTTTATATAAGAAACCCAAAATATAAAGAGCAAAATAAAAGATTGATAATAGGAAGTAAGGAGATTGTCTTCAAATGGGAAGGAAAACAAGAGGTGGATAAAGAGAATGAGGAAAAGGGTAAAGGAAACAGGATGGGAAAAATAAAAGAACTAAAAAAAAAAAAAAAAAAAAAAAAGGGAAATAGAATGGGAAGGAGACCAAGGGTTGGAACATAGAAAAATGAGAGGGAAAGGGGACAAAAAAAGAATTAAGATGTGCTTTGTACACGCACCAGCTCCTTATGATAGGTGTAAACATTATGTATCACAAATTTATACTAATAAAGAATAAATAATTACAAAGAATGTAAGTGAACAACATGCTTATTTTGGACTTTGATATAATTAAGTTGTATTAATGTGCAAGAAGTTTTAAGGAACTTGTTTTAAAACAAAAGATAGTTACAAAAGAAAGAAGGCTAAAGACACAAAAGGGAACAGAAGAGCTAGATCTGACCAAGCGGTTTTGGCACAATTCATGGAGGGAAATATACTGAAAAATCCAAAACTGCTGTTTTTAAAAAGTGGCCCTCGGGGCTGGGGATTTAGCTCAGCGGCATAAGCGCCTGCCTTGCAAGCAGGCAGTCGTGAGTTCGATCCCTGGTACGGATAAAAAAACGAAAAAGACAAAAAAAAAAAAAAAAAAAAAAAAAAAGTGGCCCTCGATTTAGGGTCAGACAGTTCATTTGTAGTTCCCGTGGCCCAGAGGCTGAGTTATTTAATGCTCTTTGATATTCCTGGGTTGGGATCCATGCTAATCCATTACTTGAACATTGCGGAAGTTATAATACAGCATTGAGAATGGTATTTAAAGGATTGGAGAATGCGTTGGGGTTCGTAGGTCTCCGTAATGCATACTGTCTTGGGATTTAACATTCATGGCTCTGGGAGAGCTCTAACTCGTGCTTACAACAGCCTGTTATTTTTATAAACACTGTTGTGGATACAGTGATTCTTAAAACAAGTACTTGATCGATTGTCGGTCAGAAGGAACTATATTGTTTAAATGGTCCATTAAAGGGATTTTAATTATCTAAATCATATGTGTAAGTATTAGTAAATGCTCATTAAGTAACCATGGAATGCTTGACAAACAATACAAGTAGAAATACTGTTTTATGTTTAAAATGTTTGTAAGGATTATAAAAGGCAAAGACTGAGGAATTCTAACATTAGAATTCTAACTTCATAGAGGCCTTTTTTTGTTTTGTTTTGTTTTTTTCTTTTTCCTTTTTATCGGTACCAAGGATTGAACTCACGAGTGCCTGCTTGCAAGGCAGGCACTTATGCCTGCTGAGCTAAATCCCCAGCCCTCATAAAGGCTTTAAAAAGAGCTGAATATTGCATGTGTTAGTAACTTAGTTCTTTTTTCACAACCATTTTCTGCTCAAACAATTATCTAAACTTGAATATAAAGTAATATCTAAATGAAAAATACTCAGGGAGTTGGAACTAGAATTAAAGATACACATAATTAGAGTGACTGAATAAAATAAAACATTACCTTTTAAGTTTTGCTTGCTAATAATACACATCTCACCTTGGCGTTTAGCACTGTTTCTTGTTTGGCTTTATGTTTTGGAACTTCAGTGTTTTCCACACACTATTTAAAAACATGAGAAAGACTGAAGAGTGAGCAACATTTGTTCTCCTTATGATAAAAATCTTGACTAAAACTTTTTCAGAGAACAAAAGAGGTGATGATGTTTCTTTTGAGGAATTGGTGCAGATGTTTACATCTCCATGATGAACACAGATACACACACACACACATATACATATATATATGTGTATGTATATATATATATATATATATATATATATATATATATATATAAAGAATTACCCAAACTGAAAGAGTTTCACCCTAAGTTTTGTCAGTATTTCCTCTGAAGGGCATGAGTTTTCTTACATTGTATAAAGTCCAACCATTCTCTGTTCTGTTGGATGAGTTTTTCTTGTTGCTTCATTATGGTAGCAGATGCCTGGAACACTAAAGACAATCACATTCCTCTTAAGAAAATATTGAAATTTCATAACAAAGTAATCCTTCAATGTAGACTAAGGAAAACTATAGGCTACTGACTGACTACCTTTGAGACTTGAATGTGCATATCTAAGTTTTTATTTAAAATTTACACTCTTTAAGAATCAAGTTCTACCTAGCAGAGAAAAAGTTTCCTTTACCGTCTTTTTACATCTGTTTACTCAGTTTCTTTCCTGCAGAGCAGAAAGTTTTAACAACTTTTACAATTTTTTTCCAAAGGTAACTTTAGTTTTACAAACCAATGAATATAAATTTCTCTGTCTTCCCTTTACACAGATGGTAACAATATGCATGTGTAGTGTGTACTTCTACTGCTTAAAATATATTTTGGTCCTATTTCCATATCAGTACATACAGAGCTTTTGGTCATTCTTTTCTTATAACCATGTAGAATTCCACTGAATGATTGTATCATGATTTCTATAGAACTTTTCTATCACCTTTTGGGTTATTTATAATGTTTTTGTATTACAAAAATGAGTGACTAAATATCTTAGCTTTAACATGTTTTACACATGTGCAAGTATATTTTTAAGACAAGTTTCTAGATCAAAGTGTGTATGTAAATTATATTATATATTTCCAAACTGCCCTCCAAAAATGCTATTGCACATTAGCTCAATATCATCTGAATCTGCAGTTATCTTTATGTTTGAGATTAAAATTATTTTCACATAATGAGTCAGATGTATTTTATTTGTTATAAAGTATATGATTATATCTTCTATAATTTCTCACCATTGGGTTTTTGGTCTTTCTTTTATCATTGTATTGTTCTGTGAGAATTAATTTCAACCAGGCTAGAATCAGTGGAGGTATTTCTGGAGTTGCACGTGGCACTAATTTTCAGACAAGGCTTGAGACACATTGGTTAACAGTGTAGCTTTGTAATCACGGCTGTGAGAATTTGAAGGCTGAATTATACTAATTTGTCAGCATTATTTATTGATGACAATACAATAGATGATTTGTCCCTGGTAATAATGAGACCCTCAGAGAATTCTGCTGCCTAGGCAGGGTACCTTGCCTCAGCAAAATTTTGACTCTGTGATCAGCAAAATATAAAATATTCTTAGTGATATTCCATTTGGGGCTCTCTGGAATCAAGATGTCATTTGTACGTGCCACGGATTCCCTCTAAAAGACAGAACTGTGTCATGAGAGGTCACCGGAGAAGGGTACAGAGCTCTGCTACTGAGATGGACTTCGGCAGAGAGTATCTTTATTAAATGCTGTTGTTAAATTGCATTTTTATCTTGTAGTAAACTGGATTTATCAGGACAGTCATTTTGAGTTCCATGAGTCTCCTTTAGCAACCAACTCTGTTACTCTCACTGTTGATACATTTAAATATCGTGAAGCTGCATTTTTATATGAAGTGAGAGTTATATTTCCCAGGATTTTTGTTTGTTTGTTTGTTTTGGCTTTGTGACAATTTATTTCATTATGATCCCATGTTTTCTGAGCCACTTTTAGAAAATACTTTGTATGTAAGAGTACACTTTTGTAAGTGCACTTTTACAATCATATTTTATAGTTGTTGAAATTTTTGTGTGGCAAATTTTAAGATATAACTTCTACATTTCCCCTAGTCATCTACACAGTTGTCTGTCAATTATTGAATAACTTCTCTTTGCTCTATACTTTTATTTGCTCGCTTTGACTCACTGTAAATTTCTAATAAACTACTTAGACTTCTGTTTTAATTATGTTTATATGTCAATGTGACATATTCCTAATTATTTTTGTTTTATAATTTGTTTCTATTTCTGATACTTCTGTTATTTTTTGCTATTTTAACTAGCTTCCTAAACTTTCAATAAAAAGTTTCAGTGTTATTATCTGTTTCTTCTTTGTAAGAATATTTAGATCTATGTCTCCTACTCAGCAAATACTTTGAAGATGATACACAGTGCATTAACTACTGTTATTCTCTTTTCTTTTGTCATGAAATTTTGTGGGTTTTACTTTACAAATTTTTAGAAAATAAATTTCATGGTATAAAGTGTCTGCCTATTTCTATTCTACTAAATATTTTTTAATATGAATATTGATTTTCTTTATCTTACTGGGGCTTATAGAACTTTTTCTTGAACCAGGAATTGAACTCAAGACCTTGTATTTACCCAGAAGGCACAGTGTCACTGAGCTATACCCCTAGCCCTCATAGAATTTTTTATTTTGCAAATTAATGTTTTAAATCAAATTTGGAAAAGTTTTACCCAAAATATTGTAATATTATTTTTATACAACTTTCTCTCCTCTACTTTAGGATCTAGTAATATACAGGCTAATATTTCTGTTGTATCTTCTGTTTCATTTTTTTTTTTGTTTTTATTAACTTCATGATGCATTTTTATTTCTGTATATTACTTCTTTATCTTCTATTTCATTAACTTACTCTTGAATGTAAAGGATTTATTGAATTCACTTTTGATGAAGGGTGAAGCAAGTTATTGCTGTTGAAATTTGTTAAAACTTTATTACGGTGTAATCGGAACCTGATTTCAAGAGTACAATTTAATACACTTATTCATGCAGTAAGACGCCTAGGTAGATAATTAACATATCAATCACACAAGTTTCCTGTCTTTTTAAAGAAGTAATTATTTTCACTTGCAGCCTGCAAGAAATAATGAAGAATGATTTCATCTATTCTTTGCACAGTTATTCAACTAGAAAATAGTAACACTTTGCAGAATTATAGTTCTATATTACAAGCATGCCATTGATATTGATATGAATAAGGCACACAGCTTCTCCATCACCATTATACTGTCCTTCAACATGTCACACCCACTGCCTTTTGCCTCATTTCTTCTTAACACTTGTGGATCATTAATATTTATCCTAGTTCTACAATTTTTTCATTATAATGGTATTATAATGGTATGACTCCTTATAATTTGCAGTTTAAAGTCAGAATAATTTTTTGGAGATTTTTCTGTAAAAGTAAATATCTGATTCATTTTTATTGTTAGTTAGATTTTTTAAAATATGGATTATCATCCACTAAAGGACATCTAGGCAGTTTTCTAGTTTTTCTCATTACAAATGAAGCTGCTATTTTCACGCATCTATAGGTCTTAGGGAAAACAAACTGTCATTTCTTTGAGGGTAAATGTTCAAAAGTAAAACTGAATTGTAAGGAGGTATTGAGTTCAGATTGTTAGGAAATACCACATTATCTTCCAGCGTAACTGTACCATTTGACATTCCACCAGGAATGTATGAGTGATCCAGAGTCTCTGTGCCTTATAAGCATTTAAAATTGTCACGAGTTTTTATCTTTAGCTTTATGATAGGTGTGCAGTGATGTCTCATTGTAGTTTTGATTTACTTTTCCTTAATGCCTAAAAATGCTGAACACATTTTTTATGCTTATTTGATCTTTTTATATGTTCTTTAGAGAAATGTCTTTTTTTCTATTTTCTAGTTGGATGGATGTCTCACTGTTGAGTTTTTATGAACTCTAGATTCTAGTTCATGTTGGAATGTATGGTTTGTAAGCATTTCCTCCATCTGTAACGTCTTTTTTTCTTTTTAATGGTGTGAAAATTTTTAATATTGAAGTAGCCAGACATGGTGGCCTATGCCTGTAATACTAACACATGAGAGGCTGAGGCAGGAGGATTGCCATGAGTTCAAGGTCAGCCTGGGTTACCTAGTGAATTCAAGGCCATCCTGTACCACACAGTCAGACATTGTCTCAAAAAGTATTGAAGTATGTAGAGATTATTGCTTTTTCCTCTATTAAAATATTCTTTCATATCAAATCCAAAAACCTAATTGCCCTTAAGTATTTCAGACTTTCTCTTATATTTGCTAAAAATTTTATAGTGGTATGATTTACAATGAGAGTACAATTTATTTTGAATTAATTTTTTGTGTAATGTGTGAATTATATTGAAAGTATTTTTTGTCTTTGTTTTAGCTTTACCAATAGAGTTCCCAATTTACTCACCAATATCTACTGAAAAGGCTATTTTCCATTGTAACAAGTTTGGACCTATGTCAAAAATCAATTGGTGTATTTATAGGTCAATTTATAGATTGCCTACTATATTTTATTTCTGTGTCTGTATCTCTACTAATACATACAGCCTTTATTAATACAACTACATGGTAAATTTCAAAATCAAGTATATTGCTTCTTCCTACAACACTCTAATTTTAATTATTTAATTTTTTGGACTTTGTACATGTTTTATAATAAAATTATCTCTCTAAGAAATGTTGCTCAGTTCTTAAAAGAAGTTGTATTAAATCTATTAATGTTATTTTTTTTAATTAATTAACTTTATTGGCACATTTTAGACGTGCCTAATGATCACATTCATCATAGGGAATTTCTACAGTGTGGAGAGTCCTCAAAAACCTAAAACTAGAGGTTTCATTTGACCCAGCTATTCCCCTTCTTTGCATCTTCCTGTTAGAACTGAAAACATCACACCAAAATGATATATGCACACCCATCTTACAACAGCACAGTTTATAATAGCTAAATCTTGGAAACAGCCCAAATGTTCATCAACCAATGAATGAATAAAGAACATGTGTTTTTTTAAATATATTAACTTTAGGATAACTGATGTCTTTCTCATGTTAATACTTGCTATCTTCTTGTTTCAATCTTTGATTTCTTTTAAAATATTATATAGTTTTCAGTATATAAATTTCATATATATTTTGTTAGATTTATACCTTATATTTCATTTTTTGAACATATATAAATGGCACTACACTTTTGGTGCTCATTTCTAATATATAAAAATGATTCGTGTATGTTTACAACAATATACATTGTTGCATGTTTGTATTCTGACATTTCTGACCATATTCATTAATTCTGGGTTGAAAAGTCCTGCCTCCTCCACTTTCTATGCAGAAATGGCTTAATGGAGATTTATATAATTGGTTTAAAATAAGTCTCTGATATATTAATCTTATTATATAGCAGTTATTAAATGGACATGTTATATAGAAAAAAAGAATGGCTTCAGGGACATTAATTAGTAAATTAAACCACTATATTATACATGTCTGCCAAGTCTCAAGTAGAAATCAGATTCCTTAGGTAAACAGCAAAATAAATGCAAAATTATGAAATGATTTCTTTCATTTTTAACCAGAAGAGGGAGGAAGTCAATAAAAGGAACCCAGTGGAGAGCAGCTGAACCCATTTCTCATAACTGCAGTAGCCAACTCCACTCTCATCATGTTAACATTTACATTCATGGATTATTAAAGAAATGCAAATGAAGTGAATATTAATTAAGATTGGTTCACTTAAAATTCAGTTAATTCTGCTTAAAGGGAAACTTGGATACATTTTGGCTCTGGTCTTAATAAAGAATATTGTTATAAAAGGAAGAATATAATTTACGTGTAGAAGAATATAATTCGTTTCAGTACTTTGCTCCTTCCCCACTTCTGGTCAGTTAGCATGCACAGAAAACACTTAATTGCTTTACCATCTTCTGATTGGCTCAGAACCATGGACCAGAGAAAGCCTGTGAATGCTTTGCTTGTCTCAAGTTTGTCAGCGGATGAGACTGTTTTATACTAGTAAAGGTTCAAATCTATCCAGAGAAAGAAAATCGTATTATTTATCTCATCCTGTTACTAGTACTGCACTTGAGAGACTAAAATATAATCATCTCCCTTTTAAGAATTTTAGGGGCTGGGGATTTAGCTCAGTGGCATAAGAGTTTGCCTTGCAAGCTTGCAGGCATGAGTTCGATCCCCGGTACCAAAAAAAGAATTTTAAATATAGTTTAAACTTTTTAAATTTTGATGTAACACTTTTTAGGATATATGTGTATATACATATACATATATATATTTCCTTACAAATTATTGTTGCTTTGGTTTTTACTGTCTGGTGGTTCTGCATGAAACTGTAACAAGACCAGAAACAAGGAAATATCACTTCTCTTTGAGTTTCATTCTAAATGGGAAGTAAAATATTTCACCTTTATTAGTGAGGAAGTTGTAAGTAATTTAGAATAAAGGAGAAATCTAAGCAATGTAATTACTTATAGAAATATAACATACATAATTATTTTACGATACCATACATTGTATCTGATTGATGAATTAGAGAAACAAAAATGAAGCAAACAGTGAAAACACTTGCAAAATTTCCTGATATTTTAGAAAATATTTTGAATTATAGAGCTTTTTTCTTTTTTTAGTGTGAGGATTTTGCCCCACACGTATTAGGTAAGTGCTTTACCACTAACCTGTATTGCCAGTTAATTTTATTTTATTTTAAGGCAACGTCTTGCTAAATTGCCCAGGGTGACTCCCAACTTGCAGTCCTGCTTCAACCTCCCACATAGCTGGAATTAGAGGAATGCATCACTGTGTCCACTAAGAGGAGTTTTGTTGTTGTTTGTTTGTTTGTTTTAATAGCATAAGTAAGTAATATGATAGAGTAGCCAGGAAGATAAAATAGCAGGAAAGGTAGAAGTTAATTCTAGTTAATTTGAAAATTATCATTCAAGTACAGAGATATCTTGGTTCACAAACTTATTTTGTTCCTCGATCTTGGAAAAGACGGCTGCATTTGTGTTTGTACAGGAAAGATGAAAGCAGTTGTGTATGAACTGTCCTGACTTTTCAAAAAATGTATATATATAATTATACATCTGTAAATGTATAATTTAAATATAAATTTTGATACAGTAGTTTTCTTACAATAGAAGTTTTCATGAAAAGTATCAAATGTGACATTTGTATTCATACATCTACTTTTTAAATATACTGTAGTGATACATACTAATATAATGCTAGTCAATATATATATAACATGAGGAAAGGAAAATAATGACATTTTTTGACAAAAAATGCTAGATACAAAAAAACTAACAACTTATACAGCATAAATATCATTACTTCTAGCTTGACTTTTAATTAAGAACATAAAGATTTCATGTTTTATGAGTTACTGTATAATACATATATGCATATATATTTATAATGTTCAAGTCAAACACTTTTAATTTCCTTGTAGTGAAAATGCATTATTAAAATAGAACATGATTCAAATGCAATATCTTAAATGTGATTTTAATATCTCAAGGCCTACTGGCTATTACATATTTTTTAATCAGCAGGTAAAGCAGTTACTTATTTAGCAGAATATTTGAAGAGTGTAAACTACTTTTTACTTAAACACTGTACTGTTATAGTAACTAACCTTGCCTCAAAAAAGGTCTTAACTGATAAGGAATATGAGAAGAAATAGGCAAATCAAAATGTTGATAACAACAACAAAATTAAAAACTAATATATTTGGAAAAAAGCTGAGGGAAAAATAGTTTTACATTTCTATATTTCACATTTATATCTGTTAAGCTAAAATGAAAGAAAGCAAAACTTCCTTTTGTAACAATTTTCTAGAAAGCATTAAGTCTTAAACACACTATTTGCTAGATAGCTTCTCCTTATCAAAGTGACATTTCTTTAAATGCAATTTTTATTTTTGGAATTTAAAAATTTTTTATCCTACATTCTTAGATTGAACTTATTTAAAAATTAAAACACAAGTAAACATTACTTAGCTTACTTAGCTGAAACCTTAGCTTCACCATTTTCCTCTGGTCTGTTTCTCCTATTGCCTTTCGTATTTGTTTCTTATAAATAAATTCTTATTTTGTGTAAATTCAAGAAAATATTTTATTTAAATCAAACTATTCAAATTATGATGCTATGAATATATTATTTGGAATGATCTTTTTTCTGTAGCAAATTACCATGAAGATATTTCCATGTCAGTGCATAGATAGCTGGTTCTGTCCCTGCTTCTTTGGTAATCTACAGTGTGGTGCACAATTAATTCTTTAAATGGCTTCTCATCAGTCGTACAATTTGGATTTTTCCAATCCTTTTTATCTCAATGTACAGGTTAATTGATAGCAAAAATTTCCAAAAATGATATTGCTATGACAATTAACTAATACCATTTAAGATAACTCATCATTTCCTTAGTAAGATGATTGTTATAGTTTATCTAAACACATTTCGTGGACTAGACACACACACAACTAAAATTACATCTGTACTAGACAACACATATTAATGGGGACATGGAATAGTAACAATATATTTTAATAAAAATAGCATGTACTGTTTGATATTTTGCTATCTCATAATTGCAAATTAAAACTATAGATTAATTTCTATATATTCCATTCATTAGACAATACAATTTCCAGATACTGTATCCCCAGTTAATTTTGTTTTTAATGGAAAATGGTTTTTAAACTTCAAATTTCATTTATTTGTTAATATTGATAATAAAATCCAAAGTTCATTATACAGGAGTAATATTTAAACTGTAGCCTTTGGTTTAGGCAACATGAGTTCGTTATGGAAATCCACTGTAGAGTCATGAAAGCAATATTTCATTAAACGTCCTCATATTTTACAAAATACACTAGATGATCAGAAGCTAATTGACTTATCTACTAGTTCTCTTTGAATTAAATTTTTCAGTGTCTCACAAGGGGATATTCACTACATAGACATCTCTAAGAATGGACTATAATTTGCTTAAAATATTTTTTAAAATGGATGGTAGAGAAGGAATGATTCTTGGAAGTTCTGATATCCATTTTGGATATCATTTTGGACTGTGAAATTTCATTTTAGGAGACAGACAAAGTAGCAAATACTGGTTTAGGTCATAGTAGTTCTTAAAACACTTCTGTAAAGACACAAAAGAAAAAGAAGCTCCTAGCATCATGTGTGTAAGACCTACCTTTCTTACTTAGTGTAAACAAATCTGAATGTTTCCTTTTCAGATCCCAAGTTCATAGAGCTATTTCTACAGTAGATAGATGACGATTAAGGAAATTATTTGCCAACATCAGAAAGGAAAATTATAAAAACAATAACTTCCATTACTATATTCCTAAGTTAGAGGTTCTAAGTTCTTTCCCTATAATCTAAAGTTCTATGACATTCTACTGTATAATCACTTTTGAGCATGGCAACTTGTCTTCAATTTGTACTAAATGGAATATAGCAGTGTAAATATAAAAATGGAGTAAAGCATATAAATATGGCCAAAATAAAGCTCCCTAGCTTCTTTAAATATTTAAATTTTTACCTTGGCTAAAAGAAAAGTAAACAAATTGATGTAACCCAAAAATGTCAACTTAAAAAAATATAGTATAAACAGAAGGGCATGTTCCGAGACCTTTCAAAGTACATGCTTTTGCTTGCTGACATGACTTATTTAATTGGAACAAAATTAATGGGGTCAGCATCATGTGTGATAAACGATTTTCTTAACATGCAGAAAGCCTTAAGTTTGCAGATGAAAAAGAATGAAATAAAGAAAGTAATGTTTTGTATTATTTTTCCCAAAGAGAACTATGACCTACAATAGTAGATCTGACTTAAAAAATATGTAATTTATTATTGAAAGTTATTAAGTGCTCAGAGGTAAGTCAAATAAATATCCGCTAATTTAAATTGGGAAGCCTTTTTATATTGTTTATATGCAATTGATAGTTCTTAATTGATTTTTTCATGTGCTTATAAATTCTGAAATTTTATATGCATGATACAAACATAAGTACAAATACAATATATGTAGCTAATAACACATGTGTGTATTTATTTTGAAGATACACTTTTGTACTTACACTTGATTCCCAAGAAAATAGATGTTGTTAATAAGCCCATGCAGAAAATACATGAAATCATCATCACAGTACACGATGTTCCTAAAAAATTCAACAAGAACACTGAAATTGGGTGAGGAAAGGCGTGTGACAGGTGAGGGTGGGAATATAATAAAATTGAATAATACAAGAAATTAGCCTTGAAAATTCCTACTGAAAAATTGTTAAAGCCATGAATTTGTAATAGCATGAGAGAAACTTTGCTTAAACTCTCATGAGATTTATAACAGGATGTATCTGGTTTGGAAAATATAAAATTAAATGGATTTGGCATTGTATCTCCCCAATTGTTACATAAAATATCACAATGTCATTAACTAATTATGCAAATTCTGTTTTGAACAGGTTTTATGGGTTATCACAAGCCATGTAGCAACACTGAACTTCTGAGTACAAAAATAGTGTGTCATGTTTCCCAAGCCTTTTTAGTTTCACTTGAACATGATCAAAATACAGTGCATGTTTATGCTGAATGAGAAACAAATTTTCCTGGCACATTTTTGAGGATAAAAAATGAAAAATGTAAGATTTTCTACGTTCTAAAGATGTCATTAAATTAAAGATTCGGGATAGGGAGATTAGTCTGGATTATCTGGGTCATCACAATCAAATGCAGGAGATGAGAAGCATTGAGTGTGATTCAGTGATGAAACAGAGAACAGCTGGAGACGTTTTGCTGCTTGATCTGAAGATGGAGGAAAGGGCTAAAAGCCAAGACAAGCCCTAAGTAAAGCTCTAGAAAAGTAAAAGATAGTCAATAGATCCTCTCCTAGAATTTTACCAAAACCTCGATTTGAATGTAGTAAAATTAATTTTAACTTCTAATCCCTGGAGCTTCATAAAATAATAAAGTTTTAGTCTCTACTGATTTGTTACAAAAACAAAACAAAAAAATGCATATTAAATACTGCAGACATAGTGGATCACTATAGGAGACATCTTTAGAACAATGAGGTTTTATAATTTCTTCTTTCTTAGTACTTACCAGATAATTTATAGAGAATCTACGTTAGAAGTAAAATAATTAAACAATATGCTTTCCTTCATCTGTTATCCAATCCAGAAATTGTCTTGGAGGGATGAAGAAAGAGAACTACTTATTTGGCAAATTCAGCCTTCTTTTCCATCCTTACTATTCTTCTACTTTGTTTCATTTCGACATATTTTAAGTAGGTTATCTCAAGATTGGAAGGAACATCCTGGACTCATTGTAGAACAAGAAACAAAACATAAACTAATCAGTAAAACTAGATACCTGAAATTCTGGTGAAAGACAGACATTTCTGAGAAGATTCTGATGGTGGACTGTCCCACTGAAGAGAGGTATATATTTCTTCTTCATGCATGACTAAGATGATTTGCTAGATAAAGAAGCTTGTGCAGAAAGTTGATACAGATTGTGGAAACTGACCAGATGGATGAAAGAAGTGAAATTGGCTACTTTTCATAGTAGTGCGAAAATGTGTGTGAATTTAATGAACAAAACGGATGCATTTTCATCCAGAAAGTGGAAGTTTTTAAAGTTTAAGCCAAAATATAATTTGGTAAAGGAGGAAATGAGAAGGCACTGAACTAAAAAATAGCCAAAGGTAAAATATCTTGCTGCCCTTATTTCTAAAATGTGGCAGATTTGAAGGCTGTAGCACTGGATTAGCATTAAAATGAGGATACAGATGCAACAAAGGCAGGCTATTGGCATAGAATGTGAAGCTTAGTTAGATAATGAGGGTATGAAGTAGGTGATACTGGGCACACTTCAGTGTTCATAATTTTGTATCCTTAAACAAGAAAGCCAAGAAAGTTTTCTTATTATTAAATAAATTTATGTTCTATATATTAATCAAGATCGTGCTAAGTTCTGCACTAAGTAAACCCTAAAATATCAGTTAATTCTGTAAATGTTTATTTCTCACATAGCATTTTAGTTCCAGTAATCTTGGTTGGTGGGTAGCTTTCTTCCAAAGGGGACCTGGCCTTCCAACTTGGGAGACATTGGAAACCTCTAGTCTTATCCACTGGGAATAGAAATGGAAGATAAAGAATGAATTTATTTTATTTTTGACCCATTTTTATTTTTATTACTATATGTTTGCAGTATAATAACAATTATATTACAATTATATTCCTAGTGTGTAGTGGGTACATGTACATAACACATACTTCTATTCGAAAACTAAAATCTCAAAACAAAATGTATTAAACGACATGTACTTATGGCATATGTGGATATAAAGATATATATAAAGATTAGAGTTGAAAAATAATTTTTCTTGAACAGTAAGCTTACAATATAACTAGATGTGAAGTATGAGTTATTTAGTAGGCAGGTGACTATTTTTGGCACATTTTGTGAGCGCAGCATTGGTACTGAGAAATTTATCTTTTGACCCTCATCATCTTTGAGCCATTTGTCGTTACAACTAAAAGTAATGTCTCAGTAATGTATGGTCTGTAAGCCCAAAATTGTTAAGTTATTTTTGTTTCACAGATTGCGTCTAATGACAGTTAGGATCTTAGATGCAAACCAAAACACGCTCGAGGGGGCAATCAAAAGGAATTTGCCCCCAGGACTGCTTATATAGTTTTGAAAAATATTAAGAGAAATAAAAGGGGTAGTGAAATGTGCTCTGAAAAATTGCTATCTGCTAAATGGAGTGTTTTCATTGGAATTTTGTGACCTGAGCTCACAGGCTCAGACTATGTCAAGCACTATAAGGAGAAAAATATCTTACTTCGCTTACTTCTAGTGCCTGCCTTTGCTTGGTTTTATAGGAAACCAATAGCCAAGCTTGCCCAGAAAATGTGCTCATTTGAGTTCAGCTGTCCATGTGTCCGCAGTGACAAATAAGAAATATCCAGCACATTCCCTAAACGTTTCATATTCCTGTGCCTGAGAATGAAATCTTAAATATAAGTTTTCCCTGTAACCTTTACAGAGAGCTAAGTTCTATGTTAAGGGGGAGAGGGGGGAAGTAACCAGAGTGACCACTGTGTAATGAGATTAATGCCAGAAACAAAAGTTCAATTAGCCATTATCCACTTCTAGTTTCAGCACTATAAATTAGGTTTAGAATGATCTGATTTTCCCCAATACAGTATATTCTCTGACAAGTTTATTGAGAGGAATTGGTTTTTCTCATTAAAAGGCTAACATATTGCTTATATTACTTTTGATGTTTTAAAGCACACTACTTATTTATTGTTCATTCCATTTTGATTACTATTTAAAAGAACTTTTACATGAATTATTTTGACTTCTACAACACACAACAATTCTAGGAAATAAGTGTTACTATTAACATAATAAACTTAATTCAACTTGAAGTAGAGAGATCTCAAAGTTTGCTGAAGTTCATTTCTCACGTCCCATGTTTCACATTTGAAACTGTCATCTTAGTTAGCTATAAACATCTGTGTTATTCTGATTCCATACTTAAAATGTTTTAGATACAAGTACCAGAAAAAAAAAATCTTTGTAGGCACAGTTTAATTCATTTAAATGTTTTATTTATGCTTGAGTCTTGAACTAACATATTATTCTTCTAAATGTATATGCCATAGTGTTATCTAAATATACCATTTTCATTCAGAAGATATGAAACACATATTTGATTGATTTGAGGACAGCTTTCAGAATTGAGTTCCTCCTACTTAGCTTATCTAAATAAAATTTTAAAAATAAGATGTGCAACTATCTAGGCTCAAAACCCAGGCAAGGAAGGAAGGAAGGAAGGAAGGAAGGAAGGAAGGAACAAAGGAAGGGGGGAAGGAATAAATAAATTTTCCTAAAGTCAAGATCTCTAGGTAGTTGAAATGGCAAACAGAATCTGAAGAATTTCTGCTATTTGTATTCAGCTTCTCAAATTTGCTTGTTTATTGACATTTCAAGCAAGGAAACTGTGTTCAAGTGTTAGTGCACAAAGCTCCAAAATAACACGTATTTATCAAGCACATATTACATGCTTAATGTTCTGATCAATACATTATACTAAGATATTCTCACAACTATTCTGCCTACAAGGTAATTATATTAATACCATTTCACAGATGAGGAAACTTGCATTTTAAAGAAGCTACATTAATTACCCCAAACTCACATAGGGAATAAGTCCTAAAGTAATGTTTCTTGAAATACAGTAAAGTCTACTTATGCAAAAACCAGATAATGATGTTTGTTGAAAACACAGGTCTCCATGTCTCATTTTCCTGACTTCACCATTAGTATTTGTGCTTGGAAATCATCACACGTAGAAAACACTTGAATTGAAATGAGTGAGAGTCATAGTTATCAAATGTACTGACCACAGTTAATGAAGGAAGTTGTGGGAAATAAACGCATTTTTTTGCCTCTTATCCTGTAAAAGCTGTCTCTCCACATATTCCATAACTATTTCCTGGGTTATTCAGCAAAAGACAAACATAGAAGTGCCAGGAAATAAAATAGATAAAACATTTACTTGTTTTTCTGCCTTGTGCCTCTTGGTTCATTTACTCATTTTAAAAATCCCATGAAGTTTATTTCAAATTACTCCTATTGATTCTGACCAGAAGTGGACTTGGAATAGTAGCTCTATTTGTTCTGTGTTTTACTGATTAATGTATATTTAATGAACTGTCTCACATAATGAAAAGCACATAACTTTCTGTTTCTTGAGGATCAGAATCTGTGCTTGTGCTAGTAACAGAATGGAGAAAAGAGAATTCATGGTGCTGGTCTTCATGGAGATTCTGTTGTAGTTAATAATGTGAAGCCCTACATTAAATATGGGAAAATGGAAATTAAAGAGGTTACATGACTGGTTCGTGGCTGTACTTCAGTTAATTGAACATACCATTCCAATTACTCTTCATATTCCAAATTTAGAATTATTTCTACTTTATGCTGCCTTTTAATCTTAGATATTTTGGGGCTGGGGATTTAGCTCAGTGGCATAAGTGCATGCCTTGCAAGCATGCAGTAGTGACTTTGATCCCCAGTACCCGCCCAAATAAATAAATAAACTTAGATATTTTGTACAATTTCAATCACTTAAGCCCTATCTTTTCTTGTCTTAATTTTAATTTTGTATGCATACATCTGAAGATGCAGGAAATTACAGTATGTTCAAATACAGTAATTAGAAATCAAAGAAAAGAAGAAAGAAAATTAATGGAAAATAGAACAATTAAAAGGGAATAATCAACTCACATTGCCTTCTAAATATGCAAAGAAGGGGTCAGGTAAGCAGTGTTGATAGTAATAATAGCATAAAAAGTGGCTGCAAGGGGAAAAAGGAAAAATAAGCAAGTTTATGGTTTGAGATTCTTTCATATAGAAATTTTATTATACAAACACTTGTCGTATATCAAATGCGTCTTTCTGGCATTAAAGTAGCAGGTCCGCACGTGGCATGCCAGCCTTCCTTTCACACATTAAATAATGTCTGTTATTACAAAAGGCAGGGTGGATTTTCCCATTTTGAAAATAAGCACAATTCATATTTTCTCTTCCATCTGTGAAAAAGTCAAGCCTGCAAATAAAAAAGGTAGAGAGTCTTCATTTGAAAAAGGAACAAACCACAGTCAAATTGTGAGTGAAGAATATTTTCATTATGAGAAACGTCCAAGATGTTTCCCATATAAAGTATGCACATACCAAAAAGACCTATTACAATTTAATGAAGCATTATAACACAAAATCAAGGATCAAGTGAAGACTGATTAATAATGGGAGTCCAGAGGAAGAGACGAACACATCTATGCTATAATGACAAAGGTTGTATCTACAAGATCAGACTGCAGTGACCAATGGGGGAAGAGTGGAATTGAGAAAAACAGAGAGAGACAGGAGATTCTTTTTTTTTTTTGGTTCCAGGGATCAAACTCACGACCACCTGCTTGCAAGGCAGGTGCTTATACCGCTGAGCTAAACCTCCAGCCCTGAGACAGGAGATCCTTGTAGGGAGAGCAACTGCATAATGTACGAATAAACTCAAGGAAAAGACAGCTCATTAAATACTTTCAAATTGAGAACTTACGCTACTGGGTGGCAGATCAAAAAAGCATACTGAAATGTAATTGCTCTTTAACTTGTTTGCATCACTTTATGATAAATATATATGAATATATATATATATATATATAATCAGGTTTACTTGTCAAATGTTACAAAATACCAACTATTTACTAAAATTGTTCAACTTTCTGAGAATAGTGATAAAGAAAGGCAAGTTTCCATTCTGGAAGGCTAAGATAGATTCACAAGTCTGAGCCCTGACTGGGCAACTTAGTGCGTGAATAAAACACTATCTCAAAGTAAAGTGCAGAAAAACAACAAAAAATGTTCTGGAGATGGTGCAAACGCCTGGATTCAATCCCAGAAAGAAAAAGGTAAATTATAAAAAAGGAAAGAAAAAGACAAAACGAACAAGTGAGGGAGGGAGACAGAATGAGACAGAGAGGAAGAGGAAAGGAACTTAACTTCGTCAAATTGAACAATTCAATGGGAGTGTATTAGTGAGAAGCCTATAAATAAATAAACAAGAAAACCTCAGAGTGATAAAATTATGTAGCAATAAAACAGTGAAGATAAGCTAGCACATAAAGGATAGGTTGAAGAGAAGGTAATTGAGTTTGAGTTATTAACTTCACTGTAGAAGTGATGTTTAACCTAAAACTTAACTCACATGGGAAGTCAGTCATGGAGTTATAGAAATAGAACACTGAGGAGGAAAACAGTAGGTACAAAAGCCTGACAGAAAAAAGTTTTCATTTGTTGAAATAATGGGGAGAACATCATCATTTTACCTGCTGTATTGTACAAGAGGCAGCAAATGGTAGAATATTAAGGTCAAAGCTGGCAAGAGGCTTGCTTGTATGTGGTGCCCTGGGTTCCAATCTAAAGTAACAGGTATCTGCTGAGTACAACTAGTGATTTACATAATGATCAGATTATATAAGCTTTGGATATGAGTTTAAATTTTAATTAGAGAGAGGCTGCACTTTCGATAGGTTGAACGAAGTGTGTTGAGTTTAGAGACTGGAATGCATTTTAAACAACTTCACTACTAATGCAATGGGGCTATTTGCTTGAACTGCCTGTGAAAGGATGGAGCCTCAAGTCATACGTATTAGAAATGTCTTCTCGGGGCTGGGGATTTAGCTCAGAGGCATAAGCACCTGCCTTGCAAGCAGGCAGTCGTGAGTTCGATCCCTGGTACCGATAAAAAAAAAAAAAAAAAAAAAAAAAAAGAAAAAGAAAAAAAAAAAAATTAAAAAAAAAAATGTCTTCTGACCTACAGTGTATCTGATTTTTGGAGAGACACTGGGTAAAGAGTAGGGAAATTCCAAAGAATTCTTAAGATACAAACTTTGAACTATAAAATAATGATGATGATTTTGTTCTAAAAATATGAGAAGAGAGTCAGATCAAGTTGAGCATAAACATACACACACACACACACACACACGCACACACACACACAGAATGTTGCAACTGTAATGTCAGATATAGAAATCAATGAGAAAAACAGAGAATAAAAATGAATCATAGCTGAGGCAAAGAGAATGAAACAGAGAAATATAGAACTCTATTCAGTGTCCTTTGGTTTAGAGTAGGCTGTAAATTATTTGGCTGTCGCTTGCAAAACCCATAATAGAATTTAGACATATATGTCAACTTTCAAATAACTTGTGCTTGAGAAAAGAGTGTCTCAGCTTTATAGTGGTTCCTTCTATTCTCAGTGCCCAATGACTTACACATTGTCGGAAAGAACTGATCCATCTTCCCACAACCAGACCTTATCAGAATTCTGGCGGGATAATCCAACCCAACGGATGAAAACAGTCCTTTCTTTGAAGTAATCCTATTGCAAACATAAAGAAATGTAATGATGAGAATGCTATTTCAGCTTTTGATCATGACAAAGACAAAGGCTTAGTAAGATCTCACACAAATATTGGATTATAGTCTATATTAATATTAATGAGTTATGCTTGACATTTAGGACTGTATTAATTGGAACTGTTTTGGAATACAATAACTTTCTTGATTGATTTTTTTTACACTTAGAAACTATTACTACTATTTTCTATACTAAAGGAATTTGCTTTGTTCATTTTTTTTTTTTTTTTTTTTGTCTTTTTGAAACAGGGTCTCTGTGTTCAGGCTGGCCTTGAGCTCACTTTGTAGCCCAGGCTGTGTTCATTTCTTATTGCTTCTACTAAAATATAAGCCTTTGGGGGCTAAGAATTATTGTTTTATTAAATAAATTTGTCTATGTCATGAAATAGGTGTCATTTAATGTTAAATTAACAATCAATTAATTAATAGATAACTAAATAGAAAGGAAGCCAAATATTCACATATTTTTATGCCTTCCAATATGACTGATAAAAATCTTTTTTTTTGGTCCTGGGGATAAGAATTTATTCTTAAACAATAAAAAATCTCTTAGGTATTTTGAAAGACATGAGGCTCAGAATGACAATACACAGGAGATAATACATGAATGTCATTACATATTTCTTAAAGTCTTAGCCATGTATACTTTTCCTTTTAATTCTTCAGTTTTTCTTTAAAATGTGTCCCTATAGAGTCAGGTTTGATGGTACACACCTGTAATCTCAGCACCTGAGAAGCTGAGATGGGAGGATCATTGTGAGTTCCAGATCAGCCTGGGCTCCAAAGTGGGCTCAAGGCCAGCCTGAACTGCATAATGAGACCTTGTCTCAAAAAGACAAAAATAATAATAATAATAAAATAAAAGGTCCATATTATGCATATTTACTAGAGGACATGACAAGTAAATTCCACCTGAAATTTTACAATTTCTTTTTTTCTCAAAAATATATTGCTTCTTCTCTTAATTATAAATCTTCAAATTGTAATGAGCATGGAGTAATACAATTCTGGCTATATTTTACATTTCCAATTAATCTCTTTATAATGGAGTTGAGATTTTAGGGCATTTACCCATTTTGCCTCAGTGGGAAGAACAGCTAATTTATTTCACTAAATATCTTCTCCAAGAGCATGGGATTCCCGGATGAGGAAGCAGCTGAGACATCCAGCCTGGATCCCAGGGAACCCCAAATGCACATCTTAGGGCTGACTCCTGCCTGACTCACTGTGCGCTTCAGCTCCCAGGAAGGTACAAGCCATTTTTATTGATTAACAATGGCAATTCTGTGCAATAACCTGGGTTCAGTATTTTAGTTCTCTATATTTTTACTGAGAGTGATGAATTTCTGAGCTAGAAGACTTAAGAAAAAAATGTAAAAAGGGTCAAGTGTTACATTTAAGCTGTTTCTCTTTATTCCTCTGGAATATTTGACGTGAGACTCTCCTCACCAGAGTGCTCCTGCTGGCAATCTTCACAAGAGTTGCATTCCAGTTAGAGCAAAACCTTTTGCCCTCTTCCCAGGTTAAGTTGTGCTTGAAGAAACCATAGCAACTATCTCGGTGATATCTCCAGTTTGTTTCACAGGGGCTGCATTTGTGATCTGAAGGAGAAACCACATATAAGTGCCTCTTCCTTCCTAACGTGGCTCACATATCCAACCCTCCCAGCAGGGTTTCCTGCCAATCTCGATTCCTTTCTGTTTGGATCGCAGAAATACTCCTGAACTGGGCAGAGGAGGAAGTAACCAAGCCACACGTACCGGCACTGCGTTTTTGTTTTTCTTCTGTTTGTTGTATTATATATTGGCAGAAATTCCTCGCTAACTTTTGAACAGTTCCTGAGAGATTTTCATTCTCAGCTTGTAGGTTGTTTTGCTGTGTCACAGCTAAATGTGGAAATTAGATAAATTACAGTTGTTAATCCGGATTGTAGAAGTGGTAGGAGGACTTTTCAATGAATTTTCACTTCAACAGAATGGCCAATATACAAAAAGTTTACTAGACACACATGAGTGAATGAGTACTGAGAATGAATAAGGTAAGGGGACTGTGGAGATGAAAAGAAATATGTAAGACAGTTCAGTGATATCCAAAAGAACAAGTAAATTACTTGAAGGAAGTGATCATAAATATGAAACTCTCAAGATAAATAACATGTCCAAAGCAGTTGTTTTAACATTTCCTTAAATACATATTTGTAAGCACACTTTATGGAGCTGAGTGGGTGACCTTGCTTATTTTCTGTTTTTCATATAATACCAAAATATTAATTCAGTTAAGAAAGCATATTGAGTTCTTATTATGTTTAAAATATTGTGATAGTAACAAATAAAACAGGGTGAATCAAAACTTCTAAACTTTCCCATAGAAATAAACATAGAACAAGCAATAACTATACAAATTACAATGCAACATAGTAAGGCTTAGATTTACAGGAAGTGAAGCATTATTTCAATGAATGAAATTAGAAGGGGGCATTCTAAGTAAAGGGAATAAATAGAGGAAGCAAAATGCAAACATGGAGAATAAGATTTATGCATGAAATTGAGAAAATGTTGGGTTAGCTGGTTTCAAAGTAAGCAAGATGAAATGAAGGTGAAAACTGTTACAAAATATAGTTTACATGCATGCTGAGGGGAAATTTAAAGCTGGTTTTAATCTATAAGAATAATTGTAATTAATGAAAAATGTAAAGTGATTTTAATCAGAAAAAAATTTAGTGTTATCCTTTATTGAGGGCATATTGGCAGCCATGGCTAGGGTGATTAAGTACTGGCAAATAGAAAAAGAATTAAAAAAAAAAAAAAGATTACCAGGACACACAAGGACCCTTAAGTAGCACCTTCCTCCATCAAATATTTGGCAGAGAATCAATACTTACACATAAACCCCAGGACCACCAGTGCAACCACCATCCCCACAGACAAGATCAGCAGAATTAAAGCCATCACACGCCACCAAGAAGAAGAATCAGAAGTAACTGCAGATATATAATAAAAATATAAGGCATGGTCAGTGGTGTCATCCCCGTGCCTGTCTTAGGATCTTGCAAGTGTCATAAGCAACATTATTGGTAGCTCTCGCCTGTGTTCTCTGGTTGACCACCAACAAAAAGTATAATTGTCTACTCCCACAATTTTTCTCTTACCCCTCTCAACTACCAGGCAATTTTTACCTTTCTAAGCCAGACCATAGGTCTTAAATGTTAAGGGCTCCTGCTTCTGTCTTTTTGTGAGTGTGTCCACCCACATAAATAATTGCTTCAGTAAGCAACAGCTGAAAAGTCATATCCCTTTTCTGACATTTGCAAAATGAAGGTTTCAAACCTTCTCTTCCCTTATTCTCTTGGCTCTATATCTTCATCATTAAACCATAGGGCTCATAATATAATATCCTTTGCTTGTATCTTTGCTGCTTATATTCTAAATATGTCCCTTTGACCCTATATAAACATTATGCAAGTGCTTCCAAAAGAATAGGAAAACACATAAATAAATAATACTAAATATATTGTCACTAATAGACAAAAGAGAACAGGATTGGCCCTTTACATTAATTAACTCCCAAATTTCTGCTGCTGGACATTCTTACCTGAGGAGACAGCTGGTTTTTGAGGTTTAATATTTAGAGTAATGTATCCATCTTCATCCTGCATGGCTTCCCTTGGACTGCAAGTTAGCTCAAGAGTCAATGATTTTGCAAAACGCAGTGTCTTCTCTCACAGTTTCAGTGTCTGCCAGACTCTGTGATCCTCCTCTCCCTGGTAGAGTAGAGCCATGTGAGTCAGGACACATATTCTTTGTGTTTGTTTTTTGTTTTCCAGGAAACCTTTTCATGGCTGTTCAGAGATAGCCCTTGAACACAAAAATGCAAAAATAATAATCACTTGTGGTAAAGGAGTAGATAGGGTATTTGCTTCCTGTTTCCTATCTTCAGCTGTGAACCAAGGGATATGCCATCATGTGTATCCTTTCAAGGCACAAAAGTTCATGCTTCATCTTAACCCTAGGAAAGCTTAAGTCATATTGCTTAATTTCTTTGTTTCCTTTCTCTTCTGATTGTCATTCGTCACTGCTCTTTGGATCTTTCATAATTCCAGCTACAGCCAAAGGTTGAGGGTCTACGTAAATAGGTGTACGTTGTAGCCCCCTCAACATGACTTATTTCTGTTAGAAATATTCAGGGTGAATATAAAGAATCACAGGGTCAAGAAAAAGCCTTTGATAACTTTTCCTCTTAATTTCGCTTTCCCCTTCTTCATGTGCTCTAAATATAAGCTGAATTATTCAGCAAAAGTAACCAGACAAGTACAAAATGAGATACAGTGTAACAAAAATTTCTTCCTCTTACAAAACTCATTGTCTTCCTTAACTGCCTTTTAACAATCCTAGATGGTCCTTATTCATATGCATTTCACTTGTTATTTACCTTTTCTCCCTTTTCTTCATTTAGATAAAAGCTCTTCATTCCGAATTTTCCAGTGAGACCAAATGTGGAATAAAAACTGTTATCAAGATGATAGTTTACACATTAAAGATATTTTTACATGAAATACTTTTTAATTTTAAATCACATAGTTAATATTGTTTTTCAGACACTGACACTGGTGCTTAGTATTCATGAAAAAAGTCATATCCTGGGCTGGGTAAAGTCACAGAGCACAGTCTGAAACCTTAACTACCTAAAGTTTTTTTTCTAACATTTAGGAAATCTACCCTACCACCAGCCAGCTCACATTCTTTGCTGTCTTTCTTATTTCATGTTTTTTTCTATGACACATCGCTGTCAGATACACATAATCATCTTATATCTTTTAATTTTTCTTTTTTTTGCAGTGCTTGGATTAGAACTGTACTGCACACCTGTAGGTAAGCACAGGCCACATCTCAGTTCATAGATTTAAATTTTTGTTATGTGTCCCCAGAATGATATATTCCACAACTTTACAAAGTAACTAAAATTATCACTTAACAGGTATTTGATGGATGCATACATTGTACGAAAGGCATTATCACTCTAATTGTACACAAGAGGGAAGAGGAGTTTAAGGAATTTGGGAAACTTTTCTAGGATTATACTTTATAAAGCAGTATCAGGTTACCTAGTAGCCAAGTAATTTTCACTACATTAAAATGGATTTCAAATTTACATACTGTCCAGACTTGCTATCTTTGCTTCTGGGTCAAACACGGTTTAAAAGAGTAGGACCACCAGGACTATGTAGTGATGTGATAAGAAAGGAAATGAGTTGAATGAGTAACATTCTGAGTAAGACCGGTTGATATACAATGATGCCTAGTGGATGTGGAAAAGAGAAAGACCGGAAAAGAAGTTGACTGCTGCAGATATTAGTACAATATCTGTAAGCTGAAAAAAATAAGTGAGCATTTTGTAGTTGGTGATCTCTTCTATAAACTTTTTCATGTGCATTACTTTTAAACTAAGCCTTAGATCTTTTTAGTAGGAATATCCTGTTTCCTCTCTGCTGCATTTAAACTACTGATTTATCTTTTACTTACTAGCTTGCTACACATGTATAAAAACTAATTCCTTTCGGAAAAGGGTAGGATTTTCAGTCATGGGATAAAAAGTATAACTAATATTTTCTCTTTCATTTTCAGAAATTTTAAACATGTGGATGAAAAATGGAATGGGCTTTATTAAAAGTTGTTGCATTAGACAATAACCATCAGACAGCCAGAGCACAACATTCATATACACAATAGAGAAGATGAAGGCAAAGCCTACATGACAGCACCCATACCACTAAGGTTATCAGGCATGTGCACAGAAAATGGTGTAAGTAAAAAGTTAATCACAATCAGTAGGATTTATAAGATTCAAAGGAAAAGTAAAGTTAGCTTAGCATGGAAAGGATAAGGGAATGTTCATCAAATTGGAAGTCTGAGTAAGTGTGTTATGCTGTAGAAAAGTACAGTTGATAAGTACATTGGAATTGAGGATTTATGTGAGATTTATGCATGCTGAGATATACAGTGTTGCACTCTCCTATTAAAATTACCATGTAGTATCTACAAGGCAGAGATTATTAACTAATCAGCCATGCAAACATACTGATTTGTTACTGTAGCTATCTGTACTCTTTTTATGTTTTGGGAACTAAGTGATAAATAAATGAATTTTGCTTTTAGTGGCTAGTGGTGGGCATAGATAATAACAAAGAAAAGATAGCAGAGAGCAAGACAGCATCACATCATCGTGATCGATCAGTGCTGTAAAAGCACATTCTAAGATCTTCAGGTTTGACTGGTCAGGCTCAGGACAGACCCTGGCTGTGCTCCTTTGGGTTTGCTCAATCATCATTGTAAATACCTGGGCAATTGCAAGAGTTTCTTCCATTTGGGAGATCATCTAAAATAGTTCAAACTCACTCACTTTAGCTTTAAAAAAAAAAGCTGCTTCTGCTTTTTTTTTTTTTTTTTTTTTTAACCAGTTATTTTTCTGGTTGGTACCACACTTACATAAATATTACTAATAAGAAACATATGACAAACAAATTAGATAAATAGTCAAAAGTCCTAAGGGATACAACTTTTACTTCAGGATTTGAATCAATCAATATGCCTTGACAGCCCCTTTGCTTAGATCGAGATATCTTGTTATCCTAGCCAAGTGAATACACATTTCCAAATGAATTCCATACTCTGTCTCCTCCTTGTGGCCGTATATTTCTTCACATTTCCTTTTTCTTTATTTTCTTTGGGCTTTGATACTGTGGACTCGCACTTTTCTCCATTCCCTTTCTCATAAATAATTAGGAATTAGCGATACCTTGATCATTCTCTGGGTCCTAACTTTTAGGATTTTCTTCATTACTGTTCTCTGAAGTAGGCAGGATGTGTGAGAAAGGAATGATTGCTGAGAAATAGGTCGCAAATAGCTTCCTATCTTAAGTACGCAGTTATTTCCTTTAGTACATTCTAAATCAAAAGTATTTCTACATTTGACAGCTGTGTCCTGTTATTTCCTACAGTGGATACTCTTTTATAGTAATTCATATGAGAGCAGAAAAACTAAGCAGAGTGATTTCAAGTTTTTGGCTGAAGAATTCTAACCAGTGAATTTACATTGACTGAGATGGGGGGAGCACTTGAGATGCGCGTCTAATTTTTTGATGTAAGTTTCAAATCTAAATAAATACATCAGGAATCCAGTCAGCTGAGCTGTCTTGAAGATCAAGCATAGACTTGGGGAATGTGAATTTGGACACTGTCACTAGATGGCTGTTACATCAAGGCATGAATCTAGTTGAGCTCATCCAGCCATGTGAATAACAGATAAAAGAGGATCAGGAACTAAAGCCTAAGACACAGAAGTTTGAAATCAGTGAAGAAGGAGTCAATGAATCTGATGAAGGGTTGGAAATGAGTGAAGTAAAGGGGAAATCAAGAGAATGGTGTACTGGAGATTAAAGTGTTTGGAGAAAGATAGTGCTGCAAGAAAAGGGAATAATCAGTTATATCAAATGGTGCATAAGGTTGAGCAGATGAATCTCCAAAGATACCCATTAGATTAGCTGATATGGATGGTAATATTGACTTTGACAGAAATATTTTTTGTAGAACTATTGAGGAGAAAAGACTGATTAGAATGTTTTTAGGAAGTGTAGGAGGAAAAAGGAGGAATAGTCTTTTGAACCATTTGTTGTAAAGAATATTCATTTTGTCGAGAGACTTGAAAAGCAAATCAAGACTTGAAATTGAGGCAAGGGAAAAGCAATTCGAGAATAGCTACTAATTTTTAGGATGCTAGTAGGAAGCACTGATTAATAAGACTATTGAGAAGTTATGGTGCAAAGAACATAAACTAAGACCAGTTAATATAGTCAATCAGCTACTCATAAGAGGTGTGGTGCAGATAGAGTTGTACTGAACCACGTTGCATTGAAATGCTTAGGATGAGTGAAAAGATAAGCAAGAAAATTGTTGCACTATACAACAGCTATTATAATTGACCCTGATAAATTCTCTAAACTAGATTAAACAGGCAACTAAATACGAGGAATCGATGAACAAAAGTGTGGTACTGTCAATGAATTTGATATCCTTATTGGGCACCAAAACCAGTAGCCCATATAATTATTAGGAATAAACCAAAAAGACAGGAGTTGTAGTTTAGAGAGTGGAATATCTGAAATTGAGACTGTAGAAAAAGTATTCATATTGGAAATGAAAATGTCTAGACTCTACTGTGTTTCTGTCTAATTAAACTTCTAAAATAATGCAAATAGTATGTATCTGTGTAGTTCAAAATCAACAGTCACTTTTGGCCACTGAGCACTTAAAGCATGACCAAGCATGGTTTAAAAAATGAATTTTTAGTTGTATTTAGTTTCAATAAATTTAAATAGTCTTATGTACCAACTCAGCATAATATTGGACATCAACGATCTGAAGCATAATCATCTAGTGGATGGCTTATTTGTGGTTGTGGATGAGTTTATTGGAGATAAAAACTGAGAAAGCAGAATACTGAATTGCCATCTGCAGAAACAGCACTTATCATTACAAGATAGTAGAGGTGAACTGAGTTAAAACAGTTGAAATAATGAAGAATAGGGGGCTGGGGATTTAGCTCAGCGCCATGAGCTCCTGTCCTGCAAGCAGGAAGTCGTGAGTTCAATCCTCGGTACCTATAAAAAAGAAAAAGACAAAAAAAAAAAAAAAAAAAAAAAAAAAAGGAAAAAAAAATGAAGAATATAGTCTCCGTACTTTATGTGGTAGATGATTAAACCAGGTGGGGTTTTTGAGGGCATAACAGATAAAATGAGTAACATAGAACTGCTAGAAGTTTGCAAAACAGAAAATCATAGATCTTAATAAATTATATCAGATTATATAGTTCTTAGGATAACAC